ATCAATATTTTCTAAATCTCCCTGTATGAATTGATTGTACGCAAACCACAAGGTACATAATGAATTATCTTAAAAATAAGTAGTATTTAAGAGGTCTCTCTTAAATATTGGATTACTCAGTCATTACATATATTGGATTTATAGGTTGTACTCGTCACAGATTGATCTCGTTTAAGATATATTTAAAAACCACAAAGATGTTACTTCATAGTATAAGATTTCTCAAGGGTACACAGGATCTACTTAAGTATGGGCTGTACTCATGACATTTAGGTCTCTGGGAGATTTCTTAATTATTAGTACTTCTAATTCAGAGTTCACAAGAGAGTTCACTATGATAATCTAATTAAAAACTTTTTTTGAAGACTAGCTTTATTTGGAATTTGTAGTCATCATATATTACCTCTGATATTAAATTAGAATAATGTTGAATTATAAATGAATAGCTAATGAACATGTAAATCATTGAAATACAATTCATTCGTTGACATTCAATACTTCACACACCGTAATCTCAAAAAAACCATATCTAGTTATGAATGTAAACTGTTTTATCAGCCTCAAACTATAAATACATATATCTGAGATGGTGGAGAGATCTGTAGCTCAAATAGATGATTTTGATGGAGTTTTATTCTCTGAGCTAGATGGTTTGATCATGAAGCTTTCTTCGTTCTTCTGAACGACATCATCATCACAAACTTCAAATAGAAGTGAAGCGTTTATATTTCTGCATATGTGACAAGTTTAAGGTCAACAAGAACTAATCAATATCAAGGTGTACAGGACAAACTGTGAACCACATATGGAGAAATTTGAACGCTTCACTTCTGTCTGAAGTTTGTGCTAATGATATCGTTCAAAAGAGAACAATGATAGCTCCAAGATCAAACCATTCAGCTCAGAGAATAAAACTCCATCAAAATACATATATCTCTTTAGTTTTATTAATTTTCTATTCATTTTCAATTAGGCGTCATTAAATGATGAAAATTATAAACAATCATAATGTAGATTATTATAAACATTTGTATACCATTCTATTTTGATTTAATAATGGTAGTATTTGTGGTTCAACTAAATAATTGTTTATATTAAGTAGATTTAAACAAATATCTACTCATTACAAATTGTTTATCATTATTACCTTGATAGAACAACTTCATAGTTTAACTATCATAAATATTAACAAACAGTAGATGATTAGATTTAGTTATATTACATAATGTCTATTCATAGAGTACAGGACTAATATTACATCTTATTTAATACTCGTCATTTGAATGTAATTATATTCCAGTTTTGGTATTTATAACAGAATTTGATCCCAGTACTTATCACTAAGCTATTAAGTTGAGTTTTAAGTAGGATAAAACTCATATCTTGCATTCAATTAATAAACACTATCTTACTTATTTACTTACTTACTTACTCCTGTTACTCTTCATGAAGGAGTATAGGCCGCTTACCTGCATTCTCCATCCAACCCTGTCCTGAGCAATTCTTTCCAGCTCTATCAAAATACTTGTGAATGTTTCAGAAATTCCAGTCAATCTGCTTAGGATGTGCATATGCTATAAGAGACTAGTCGATTCTTAACAGTATAAAATGCATCTTCTTCTTGACAGCATCGTCTCTGTATAACTATGTGATACGCAACAATTTAATATCAACTAGCATTTATTAAATCTTACATTTTTGTCTACTTGCATTTGTCATATAATTATTAGCATAGCAGTACAGAATATTGAATTCGTGTTTAAATATTTCGCTATACAAACTTATTTATCAAATCAAATTAGCATTCAGACAAGAAAAACAATCACGGTTACAAAACAACAATGAAAATTCTGAACGGCTATATCTAGAGTTTTTTTAGTTATTTTTTGGGATACAGTATGGTATATTGAATGATATTTACTGATCACAATGTTGAGGACTATTGACGCTTTATTCACTTAGCTACTGTGTCCAAATAGTCACCAACTTGTTTAACAGGTATAAATTCAACTTGTAAGAGTTTGAAAATTTCTGGTCATCATCATCGAACTGCCTCTCTATTCTCATTTACTTATAAATTTGAAATGCAGCCAGTTGCAAGGTCTATGAAGCATTGGTGTTTACAGAAAAGGCTACTGGGTTCGGGTCCTGTTTCGAACATCAATACCAGGATTCGGATATAAATACTTGACAAGTTGCAAATAGAATGTAACGTGATTCGTGGTTCCCAATCCCAGCTACGATCTAAGTTTACTTATTTCTATAACCTTATAGTAATATGAAATAACTTTACGATGAACATAAGCGTATAACTTTTGATAAACAAAGGGAAAACACAAACTCAACAAATTAGCGTCTCTTCTTTACGTTTCAAATGAATGTTTCATGTTTTTACGTATCCTGCAGTTTTGTGAACATCATCTCACAATATACAAATGATTAGTTCCGAAGGTTATCAGACCTGGTCGATAGACCTTTGGACAGTTGTTATTCCTCTTATTCACTTTTAAGCAGTAATTTATAGTAGAAATGCTAAATATTTGAAAAGACTAACCATAGTAAACTGAATCTAAGTAAACAGAGAAATGACAAAGAGTTATTGCATCATTGTTTCAGGATTAATTGACGATGACTGTCGATGGATAGCCATCTTGTTCAGATGGTACATATAAAACATCTAACTAAATTAAAATAGTCTACTCACTAGAACTAACTTTAAGAAAGATTTCTTGGATTTTTATAAAATGAACCAAAACCGGTGGAGATAACCAGGTTTGTAATTAGACAACTACTTATCAGTGATCGACTAATGTTGAATAAAAACCAAACCATTCAATTGTGACTCTATGACTAACAAGAATTAGGTTCTATGAAGAAGTGAAAGTGTTTAAATCCAAATTATTCAATCCAGAAATTATTTTCTAAATATAGAAAACACATACAACTCAATATGTATTAATAGTAAACCTGATGAGTATATAAAGTTTGTAGGACAAATACTAATAGTTGAATTCAATACATCCATATTTGTTACTGCATTTCACTTTGTTAATTTCAATGAAATACATATATATTATTATCAGAGAGGGGTTTTGTGGGTTCGAGTCTCGTGAGGCAGGGTCGTGGATGTATACTACTGAGGAGTTCCGTACTAGAACGAAACAGCTATCCAGTGTTTTCAGGTTTTCCATGAGGGCCTAGCTCATGAATTCAACTATTAAAATTATATAATTTGTTATTTTAATTAAAGAAGAGATTGTTTTTTTTGTGTGTTCCCGTCATATTTATCCTTGAAACGTTATCTCCTAGTAGCTAAATTGTTTCTTTCTTCTCAATATATTCTAATAATTTATTTTTAGTGAATCTATGACAGCCAGTTTACTTTTCATGTTTGCTGTAACACAGTGTATATTTGGATTTGTATTACCGATATGCGATTCATTTGGTATGAAAGGACCTAAACTTTATTATGAAGCAGATCATAAGTATTATTTGGAAGTAAGTCATATTTTGCTAATTTAGTCTTATTTAGAGATATAAAAGATTATTGATATTTAGAGTGATTATATATGTTACTTGGACTCAACCACCTCACACTTTGACATGCAATATTTACCGTCGTAGAAATAGGTTGGAAGAAGGTTAGGAGTGGTTAAACTACGAAACGGAATAGGTCTATGACGTTATCGACTGTTAGACTGAGCACTATAGGTAGGTACAAACTACCTAGTTGATACCTTTGTGATTATCACAACCAATCACAGAAGACGTTTGGTAACATGACCTAGGATCGATCGCACTGGTACAAACGCATTTACTTTTTGTCTTTTCTACAACCTTGAGTTCTGCAATAATCGTATACGTATTTTTGGTCACCAATTTTATGCTTTCTTTTAAAATTATATTGTCTTTGTCGAATTCTATAATCTTTTTTCAAATTTAATGATTAGTTATACAATGTCTCCCATAGTTTAACCGATTTTACTTTTTCCTATTAAAACTTTTAGGTGAAGTTTCGTTCTATGGAGTGGATGGTTTGGTTGTGCAGCTTTCATTGTTCTTCTGAACAACTTCATCCGCATAAACTTCAGGTAGAAGTGAGTGGTTTGAGTTTCTCCACATGTCAGTTGCAGCTTCTCTTGTCGACCTCGATCTTGATTGGTTATCTTTGACCTTTAACTATTCATTGTGGATGTCCTATTCATTTTCGCCTGCAGGAACATAAATTAGCAGTCAAACGTCATGACACCTCCTCGATGATATCGATGAATGTGGACAATTATGGATACACATTCGTCTGCAAAAATGTTGATATCTTGGATAGAGGTAATACTAAAAGCGCCAGGAAATTTTTAAAGCTTGACACACAGACTAATCAGTAACCAACGAACACATTGAAATCTATCAACCGATCAGAAAAATCATGGACAAATATTGGACCAAGAATCAAATCACTTTGAGATAAAATCAAAATAAAGTAGACATAGACAGGTGAAAGGTCAACAATAACCAATTAAGATCGAAGTCAACACGAAAAGTTATAACTCACATGTAGAGTAATTCTAACCACTCACTTCTACCTGAAGTTTATGCGGATGATGTCGTTCGGAAGAACAATAAAAGCTCTACAACCAAACCATCCACTCCAGAGAACAAAACCGCCTAAAACAGCCACCTGAGTTACAAATCTTCACTATATTAAAACTTTATTAAAAATACATCTCGAAGCAGGTCATTTATGTATAGTAAATTACTGAAACTGGGACAAGCTAAAGCATTTATCCCGACCGTTTTTGCTACCTTGACGTTGAGGTGGAGCTTGCCTGTCGTGATGAAGCAACCGAGCCATACTGGGTGGAACAACCGTTCCTCAAGGTCCTACCATGTCAGACAGGTCAGTTGAAGAGCGGTAAGACTAAAAGCAACAAATCCAAGGACCGAAGGCGAAGTCGTACTGCTGACTGTACAGAGGTGTGACAACAGTAAGGTGTTTCCTTTAGACAACCAGCCTAACAGCGATGCTGACTTCCCACAAGAAGGAGTGGAATTAGAATAGGTCAACCTTAAAAATGTACACCTCGCCTTATCCCATGGATATCCGTCTCCGGCGGTAAGGTCTCAACAAGCACGGAGCTAATACAAAAATTACTCATAAAAAATTCGTGCGTGACCAACCTCAAACAGTTGTCTGTTGGGCACTGCGGTCACGCTTTCAGGTCGCTAATCCAATTTCCTTTTCAGGTACCTCTAGAAGAACCCTTCTACGGTGTGGGCAACTGGTAAGTGATAACCGCCCTCATACCTGCAACAGCACTCAAGACCACTGTATTCATTCATTAAAGCATTTATCTATAATTATAGCTTTTATGATAGTTAATGTTTACTGATATTATTATGTAATAGTATTATTATTAGTTGTTTACTCACCTTGATTTCTCTTTTTTCTTTTTTCTTGTTTTGCCTACTAGATATTTCTAATTTCTCAATATTGTGGAGCATTACTTGTATTAGCTTATTTACAATATTTAATTTATAGTGGAACTAAAAAACAATTAAAACAAGCGGTTATTCATGAAATTTATAAATCTAAAACTGGTTGTGAATTAGTTGATGATAAGCATATGAGTAAGTAGATTTTAATGAACAGTAGTTTTTATTATTATGAGTATATGTTTACATGATTTTTAAAAAAAAGTTAATCTCATCGTTAAAAGAGTAACCATGGCAATTAGAGAGAAGCTAATTTTGAAACTCCATCCAAACCAACCAACTGAACTACAGATCTTTTCCACCATCTCAGAAGTTAATTTATTATCATTTTAAACTTTCTAGGTTTACACAGATGACCTCATACAAAATTGAAGGAAGAACTTTCAGCTAGTACAACAGATAATATATTTAATCTTAGAAGAGATTTTGTATAGATTTTAGTAATTTCAATAGTTGAAATAATGAGTTAATTGAGGCTAGACCATCATAGAAAACCTGGAATCACTGAATGGCCGTTTCATCCTAGTATGAGACTTCTCTAAAATCTCCACAAAACCCATTCTGATAATAATCATCTGCTCATTAGTGACTGACTTCAAGGGGCATTTCTCGGAGTTCCAGTGAGAAGCCTTGATCAATGGAGTTCAACCAGGTCTGTTGTGAGATATCAACTCACTGAAGACAATGGTGTACGGTGGTGCGATTCTGTGGATTGATTGAAGCTAGATATTAACACCGTCGGATGCCGACCGGCTCAGTGGTCTAATGATTAAGCGCTCGTGAACGATACTGATAGGTCCTGGGTTCGAATCTCGCGGGAGGTAGGATCGTGAATGTGCACTACTGAGGAGTCACATACTAGGATGAAACGGCCGTCTAGTGCTTTCAGGTTTTCCATGGTGGTTTAGTTTCAATTGACTCATGATTTCAACTATTGATATATTTATTACACTCAATTATATCTCAATCGTCAGCATTCATAAATTCAGTTCATTTAAAATACAGAGTGATAATTATTCAACTCAGTTAATAATAGCTGATTAACTGAAAAATCACTACTTCTCACTAAAACTCTTGAAACTTCGAATCTAATAAGAACAATATTAGTTATTTTACAGTACTTGATCCTTTAAACTTATCTTTGGAATATAAACATCTTCAGGTCACTTATGTCAATATTATAACTATGTGGAACCGATTGAGTGACATGTAAATTTAAATTTATTTAAAAATTCATGATATCTTTCAAGGATAATCTATTAAAATGACCAAAAATGATTTAGTATTATGGTTTTACCTGATATAATCTGATCTATTGTAGTTTAATAAAGAATATCACGGATTCATTGTAGTTGGATAATCGTCAAAAACCAAGAAACACTAGACACATGTTAACTCTATGTATGTCATTGCTCAGTAGTGAGAATGTACCAGTAAGTATTTGAATTCAGTTACATCGGAAGTGAAACACTTACCCACCAATGGAAGTAAATGACGATAGCGATATTTCATAAATTAACTGAGATCAGAAATTTAAACTATTGAATACTAACTGATCCATTTTTTTAAGTGCTTACCTTGATGCCTGAAGGTGTTAGGTTCAATCCCTAAGAAATGTATCAATTAACAGTGATCAGGCGTTTGCTTAACTAAGGTTAGTTTGTGATATAATTTATTTATGAAATAGGATGCAGCTATTTCGTATTTATTTAATAAGAGTTAACTAAATTATCAATTTACTGGTTTAAATTTGATGTGTCTTAAATTTGGACCACTCATTTGTATAGTTCACTGAATGAGTTGCAATAATGTTAAAAAGGACATTGCAAACTCAACTAACATAAGATTAGCAAGCTCCTTATCTGAATAGCTATCTTGTCTCAAAGATCAATGACCAACAAAATGTTGACATGAATATAAAACGTATAACAGTAGTCCACTTTATATATTACACCAGTGAGTTGATTGCTTCTATGGATTTGGTGTTCATCTTGCTGTATTAATGAGGTGTGGCAACTTGGACCGATGCACATATGTGCCTGGTCCTACGTTGTAACTGACTGACTGAGTCCATTTACAATTTTCCTTATACATGAAAGTGAGAATCAAAACCTCCATACCTTTTATAAATTAAGGTGAATTGGTTTCATTCAATATTCTCTCCCAAAAAAATATTTATGAACACACACACACACCTTTTGGTCTTACTCATGACAAAATAAGAGAATACATCATTCAATTTTAAGTACAGATTACAGTTATCCAATTAGAACACTTAACATTGTAGTAACATTTATGTTCAAACATTAGTTTCCTAATGAATAAGTAGTAAGTTAGAGTACAATCACTATAGTAATTAAACATATGTCAAATTACAATCTCTCATTCCAATTTAAATCAACAACAAAAACTTCTACTAATTAAACATTTCTTACATAATTTGATTAACATCCAATCAAATTTCAAAGTCCCTCAACATTCAATTTAACTCGATTTGAATTAGAATCAAATGACTTAAATAATCAGTCAAACAGAATAGTAAAAATGCTAACAGTGATACATGTCAATTAAATCTATTATTATTATTATTATTCACTTTGTCAACATAGTATGATACTCATTATATAAAAGCAAGTAAGACAACAATGACCTATTATTTATACATAGTAATCATTAATTCATGATTAGTATACGATTATACCAAATAAAGACATCTTAATTAGTCAAATAATTAGAAATCTATAATCTGTATTCAAATAATAATAATAATAATAATAATAATAATAATAATAGTAATAATAATCTTATTCTTCAAATGTATGATTTCAATACTGATGACATAAACTTCTTTACTCTATTAAATTCCTGTCATATACTTCTTCATTTACAAATAGAATTGAATTTATTATAATGAGATTAATTTAACAACATAAGTAATAACAGGAAAAGTTCAGTTTTTTTTAGAAAAAAAACTTTTTTGTTATTTAACCAGGTCCGTTGTGAGATAGTAACTCACTGATGACAATGGTAGATGTGTCGCTCAATTTCGTGGATCATTTGAAGCTAGACATTAATACCAATGGATGCCGATTCAGTGGTCTAGTTGGTTAAGCGCCTGGAGTGAGACCGATAGAACTTGAGTTCGAATCCCGCGAGGCGGGGTCGTGGGTGCGCACTGCTAAGGAGTTCCATAATAGGACGAAACGGCAGTCTAGTGTTTCCAGATTTTCTATGGTGGTGTACCTTCAACTGACTCATGATCTTAACTATTGAGATTTTTTTTATTTTTAATTTTTTAGATAATAGATAAATTATGTGTAATTTAATTACAGAATTAAATGTAAATTGAGCTATAATAAGTAAATGAATAGTTTTACATTCATGTAGCTAAATAATGGATAATATCTTTCAATCATGAAAATTGCTTTAAATTAGAAGAATGTTATTATTTGAAAATAATAGATGTTTTCTAAAGTTGATAACTTGTATTCCATAAAAACAGTAGGCGCTGTCAGTCAGATGGTACACCTTAGCAAAACCATACAGTAAGTGTGATACAAATCTAGGAAGACTTACAATAAGTGAATGTTTCATGTAACCAGGGTGACGAGATGAGTTGTTAGCTTAGATCCTCATAGCTTTTACTGCATAAGAGACGAGATCGAACTCCATGAAAAAAACTAGTAGAAATATAATAAATTAATTTAAATAACCTATTCCTATCTATTACGTAATTGCTATTGATTAAGTATGATAGAACACAACTGCATATTATATTGACAATAAATGAACAAATTCAATTAACTCACATTTAAACAGTATCAAGAAGAGAAAGTAAACATATTTAATATCGACAATCGAAAAACAGATCTGTTTAAGTCATTAATAATTATTTACAACTATTATGATTACTACCCTCATAATCACTGAGAACTTACATTCATTTAATAGTTGAATTCATCAGTCGATTGAAACTAGACCACTATGAAAAACCTGAAAGCACTAGACGGCCGTTTCATCCTAGAATGTGACTCCTCAGTAGTGCACATCCAATATCCTGCCTCCCGCGAGGTTCGAACACAGGATCTATTGGTATCGCGCACGAATGTTTAACCTCTAAATCACCGAACTGGCCAGCATCCAATGGTTTTAATGTTTAACTTCAACCAATCCACAAAATTGCGCCACCGTACACTACTGTCTTCAGTGAGTTGATATCTCACAACAGACCTGGTTGAACTCCACTGATCACGGCTTCTCACTAGAACTCTAGGAAATATGATATGACGGGAAGAAAAGTCAAAAATCGATTGACTTAATCATTATGAGTTTTGTTCAATATTAATTCCGTTTTGACTCAATGTGACGATCATTCAGTGTAGTATTCGATTTTCTTTTCTCGTATGATATTTTCTTCTGTATAATATACAATATTGTTGTATTCAGTTGACATGATCTATGCTCAGTATGTGATTTGTTATAACTCAAAGTATTTTTCATATATGTGATTTCATCTTAATTATTAATCAAAATGAATGTACAATCAATATATAAATGAGTGTGTTTTTCAACTAAGGTCGTCGTCGTGTTTTGAGGTTAATAAATCTTCACTTATACCAGTCTTTGTATTCTTACTTTCGCGTTGTTGGAATTTCAGAGGTTCCTCATTTCGAGTATATGTGATAAGCGACCCTGACACAACCATCAGTAACGACCAGTTATAACAAGTAGCATTAAACGATAAGACATATTAGTGATGACGGGAATTTCGGAAAAAAATTTGAAAGACATATCAATGGCAACGGGATAAAAAAAAAGAGCCAAAACAATCAGCATCTAGTTATTGACAAGTTATAACAAAATACCTCTTGGAGACCATCACTAATAAGCTTATGATTCAGTTGTGTATTTTTTCTAAAAAAAATTAATTTTTATTGGTACATTTGATAACATTTTCTTTCATTTCTTTCATTATAGTAATTAATGAACATCATGAATTAAGTGAACCAAATATAGTAAGTTAAGTTAATGATTATAATGTACATGTTTGATTACTGTGGTGGTGGTTTCGAACTATTTGAATGAAGTGTTACTAAGTTTGTTGGTTTTATGTATATTTTTTTTGTAAAAAATTTAATGATAATTTTTTTTTAGTACCTTCTTACAACAATTGGGAGAGTAAAATAAGTATTGGATAGTATTTTTTGTTGTTGTGATGATCCAGAAAATTTCTCCCAAAAGACAAGCGAGGATCAGAAAACACTAAGAAGCATTTCATCTAATCAGCGTTCACTTGAAGTTTTAGCCAGAAACATCAAGAAAGTGAAATGTCACATGCAGAAGTTTTGATTGGCTGATTGTTATACTGCTACTATGTTTAGTAGCATTCTAGAATCTTCGAGCAACCCAAGGACATTTAAAATATTATAAAAACCTTATATTTTCTGTATTAAAATGAACCTTGGAGCAAAGTACTTTTCACATACTTTTCACCTTCTCTCTCGTGTTACAAGAATAGCTTAGGAACCGGGTATAGCTTTCAAATGGAAAGATTTATCAGTTTCACTTACAATATTATACCACATGGTATTGCACCCTTTATATTTAGGTCTAATGATAACTAAAATATCTTGTGACTACTTTTTAAAAGTTATATTATAATAGAAGTTTTTATACAAATGATACCCTTCATATATTTGAACAAATCAAATTGAATAATATTTGCAGCTACCAACAGCCTGCAAAGCAATATCAAAAGTAATACAATTATAAACAATCTTTTGATATACTATAGTCAGTAATGTTGAAATTTATATTTGAAACGGAATAAAATGATTGATTATGTTGTTACTCATTTACTTAGTACGGGCTTATAGACATACTAGTAAGTGGCTACTCAAAACGAAGTGGATGGAAAGGTATTCAATTCTATGACTTGTATGTTTAAAGTTTATTACAAGTTTCACTTGGTATTGTTTTACTTATATTTTCCCATTGAGGTTTAACACTGCAATTGATCAGTCTATTGTTGGCATATGTGCATACTGTGCGTATTGCCTCGATATAATTGAGTGGATAACGCGATGGCGTTTGAAGCGAATGTAACTGGGTTCCAGTCCCAGAATGAACATCAACTCTGAGATGTAGGTACATCCAGCTGACGACTCCCAAATAGGACAAAACGCGCGTCCTGAATTCCACTGCCAATCACTATCCATCTTTGCTTATTACTCATCATTAGTCTTAACATTGTTAGCTAAAACATTAAACAAATTTATAACTTTAAAACAATTAGTCCGTTTGATAAATTTCGTTAATGCAATGAGATGATGAAGGTTATCTGCATAATGTTATATAGTTGCACGATATATTTCGAACAATCTGATCACATATATACTTGTTATGACATTTTTATATGGAAACTAAAAGGTCAAGTAGACAGGTTAACGTTGAACAATGTGATAATCACACTGGATGATAAATCAGTATCACTAGGGTAGGTTAAGGGTAAGAACAAATTGTTTTTGAACGCATGAAGTGGGTTCCAGTTTTCGTATAGCCAAGGCTTCAATAAACCTTAGTATACAATGTTGAAGGCTTTTGTTCAACACTACAAATGCTGACTTGATATCAACGTTATGACCAGTTTCAACCAAATGTTTCGCATTGGAGGATGATGTCTATTTTATCCTAAATGAACCATTAATTAACTCTACATACTTCATATGAACACTGTTTGCAAATCATGTATGATTTCTTTTAATGAACAAATTGTAATTGAATTCTAATACTACACTTCAATGAAATTATCTTTCTCGTATCTTCTTCATCTTTTTTCCATTCATTCAATATGAATTTGGATTTTCTTTGATAAAGTTATGACTCAGCAGAAAGAATTAATAAATTCAATGGTTGTATACAATTGATTTGTTGATCACATTTTATTTATTTATTTCAACACACAAATATTGGTACAAAGGGTCAACAAACGGATATGTACCACACAAGTTACTTGGTTTGTGTGTAAGCTGTAATACTGCCCGGGTATCCAAGCCGAATCAAGTGGTTTTCTTAGGGCGCCACACCCCGAGCCTTCGACATAAAGGTCTGATCCACAAGGTAGTAGAGCAACGTTGGGAGATGCAGTCCTATAGTAGCCGGTGACCAACAATTGGTTCATACACCGTTTGATTCCTTAGGATCTTGGAGCCCATGTACACCATTGGTTTGGAATCAGAGTTTTCCAACTCTCCTATGTGGATCTTCCGTATATACCGACCCGGTTAAAGCGCCGGAAATTCGCTTTTCGTCTTCTCTATTTCGTAAACAACAGTAGTGCCTCGGGGAGGCAGTGATCAGGGCTCCCCTGGCAGTGGCTGTATACGCGTGAGCATGTGTGAGCATTTCGAGATAGAGTGCTGACTCTCCTCACTCTCAGCCGTACCAAGACATTTGATCACAACTTATGCATAAACGTTATCAATCAACCTAAATGTCCTATTCTTGAAGATTAATCGGGTCCCAACTAACTTAGTGGTAACGTTTTAGCCCCTGAATATGGGTGATGAAAGCATGAATATACCAGAGTGTATCAGTTGCCTCAAGATTGCAATGAATGTCAACCGTCCCGAAACCTAGGTTCAAGGTTTTATGATAAATACATGCAACAGACTAATACCAATAAAATATCCTGCGCAATATCAAGTCACTTAAATTAATGGCCATACTGATGATTTTGATTTTGATTATTACCCTGAAGAAGTCCAGACAAGTTAGCTGGACGAAACGTTGGAATTATTTAGATTTCAATCGCTGAGATTATTTCAAATATAATTTTCATATATAATGACCTCTATATACTCGGCGCTCAATTTCTGTTAAACTATTCGTTCTAATCTTGACGAATGTTCGTATATACTGAAATATAGTTGATAGGATCCGATCAGCACTAAATACCGAATACATATGAAATTGCTTATTACTCATTGATTATTCAATGCCCTGGTACGGCCGAGAGTGGAGAAAGTCCACTCTCCCTCTCCAAATGCTCTCACATGACCACGCGTATATAGCCTCTGCCAGGGAAGTCCTACTCACTGCCTTCTCGTGGCGGGGGTGTTGTTTACGAAAGTGAGGGGACAAAAAGCGAATTTCCGGCGCTTTAACCGGATCCCAAACCAATGGCGTATGAACCAATCGTTGGTCAACGGCTACCATGGGACTGCATCTCCTTACGATGCTCCACTGCCTTGTGGGTCAGACGTTCAGGTCGAAGGCTCGGGGTGTGGCCTCCTAAGAAAACCTCCTGCTTCGGTTTGGGCACCCAAGCAGTATCACAGCCCTCACACAAATCAAATGAGATTTGTGTGGCGCATATGTATTTGGTGCCTCCATGTACCAATATCTATGTATTAGGATAAATAATAAGAAACAATGTACAAAATACCACGTACATTTAACAAGTATCATGAACTTTAATAATTAGATGTTTTGATCAATTAGAAAAACACAACTTTGCGAATCATTCAGATACTCAATATCGACAGTTTCTGATTCTGATTAACTTACAAAACATTAAAGCAAAGAATATTAATAATTTAAATTAATGAAAAGTTTTTTTACATCTGTAAAAAGTTTATTATTATGGTTTTACATTAGCATATGTGTAGTAAAGTGTATATAAGCAAAGATGGATAGTGGTTAGCATTTTGTGGGGCCCTGTATTTTGTCGTCATTTAGATCGGACGATGTTTGCCGAAGGGCTCTCCACTATAGTGGCCCGAGGTCTGACTTCAAGGAGATCGCATGAATGGTTGTTATTAAATTGTATATGTCGCCTATCCTCGTATGTATTTATCGACTTAATCCGCGTTAGTCAATAACGGAATTAAATAAGTCAAATAACGAGAATGGACCTTCGAATATATATTTTTTTTATGTGAAGCGAATGAATTAGAGAGAAGAAAAAAGACGTGCGGTGGAGATGGCAGGTAAGCCAACTCCCATTTAACCAAGCGTTAATCAATATTTATAGTTACACAAAACTAAGTTACAGACATGTCATGAGTAATGGGATAAGAACTGTACACACCTAAGCCCTCATATAAAAACAGTCAAGATTGGTAAGCGAGTAATTAACAAAGTCAAAATATGACACAAGTGGGATGAATAGATTGAGCTGTCCGAAACCTAGAATAAGGTATATGAATCCAGGAAGCACGTTTCGTCCTATTTGGGACTCGTCAGCTGGATGTATCTGGGACTCGAACCCAGTACCGTTTGCCATCACGTTATTCACTTAGCTACTGAGTCCTGATAACCACCTACTTGTGAGATGGGAAGATACAAGTAAACAACATCAAGTGATTATAAAGTGCATATACTTGGAGACATATATATATATATATATATATATATATATATATATATATATTGAGAGAGAGAGTAGTTTTCTCCGTCTTCCTCACACATACATTTTTATATCACCAATTTTTTTAGTTGATAAAATCAGATTATACAAATAATTCCTCACCAGTTAGTCCAATTGATAAACTATCTGATATTGAATCAACAACAAGTGAACGACAACTGACACGATTAATTCATCTTTACAATGATAATAATAATAATCAAGAGAAACCTTATATATCAATACATCCGGAAGGAATGAATTTATATATGCGACTTGGAGCAGTTGGTAAGCGCAATGACAATTATAGAATTTGTTGTCGATTCTCTTTAAAATTTTTAATCATCAACATTGATTCAGTTAAATATTCAAGAAATCTATTTGTTCGATCATACAAATTGGTAAGGTTTTTTTTCAAATTTTGTTAAATCAACTTGTATTGATTTCAGAATCTGTAAATTGTAACAATAAGAAACTGTTAGGGTATGTGAATGGAATATCTGAATGTTGTTTATCTAGATTTATCGACCAAGCCAAGATGTAACATTAGAACATGAAATCATTGACCAGTTAATAGAGTTAAGTAAGTGGGTTAGAGATTACCTTTCATGAATCTGTAATCAGTGTTTGTTAACATAAGATGACGTAAAATCAATTGTAATGGTTCATATGCATCCAATCTTTGAAAACTATCTCATTCTTTTTATCCAGTTAACCCACTCTTTCGACTAGAATCATACTATCATCCGGGAGCGGAACTCAGAACCTATGTTCTCATATGAGAACATTCAACTTCTAAACCACTGAACCGTCTTTCAACGGTGTTAATGTCTAACTTTAATCAATTCACTATATTGCATAACTTCCATTCATTACCTGAGGTGAATAAATACCTCATACCCCAGACACACTGAACTTAGTGATCTAGAGGTTAAGCATTTGCTCGCAAGACTGAAAGTCTTGAATTATACTCTCTGATGTGGGGTGGTAAGATAAAATGTCCGTTCAGTACTTCCAGGTTTCCAGTAGTCATCTATGTAAGATCAGTCCATAATTTAAGCTGAAAATTCTACATTCGCCTTAGATCCCCTATATTAGCAATCATTAATTTTTTAATGAAATTACAATAAGAACCAGAAACTATACTTTGTATCCGACTTTTTTCTTTAGAATTTGGCAGAATTGACCTGAATTCTAATTAAAATGACATATGTGGTATTTATTTAAACTCCATATATTTATCAAGACGTATACAAACGTGGTTTAATTAAATAAATGGAATTTGTTTATCTGTTCAACATGAAGTTACTTTGTAACCATCTTATGGAAGTGTACTGAACAAGAACACCATTGGGGACAATCGAATGCATTTAACAAATTACAGAACTAGTTAGTAAAATCTAACAACCATATAGTAAATGCTCGATTTGCAAAATGTCCATCGATTGTCTCAAAATTACCGTGACTTCCTTTGTTCTTGCATTTTCACACAAATTGCATTCTGTTTTCATTCTTCACTGTTCGGTCTTCTTGTCTCTCTGATGCCAGACATTTTGTTCACGACAAACATCATATACTACTTATGTCTACATAAGTAGTACAAACCACAGAAGTACCTTGGTCTCCAAACAAATGCAAGAATAGTGGACTATTATATCTAGAAGGTTATTTTCTTGATAAACCGCGTATAACTAAGCACTAGAACGCCAAAACCCTTCCAAGTCGCGATGAGAAGACAGAAGACTAGTGAAAGAAATATTATTCCAAACAGTGTCAATTATAGTACAAAATTGTCAATTATTTATAGATTTTAGTAAGAACGAAATCATCATTACAGTCCTCCAATCCTCATACAGGGGGTTGTTAGCGTTGTTCAATCGGAAAGCTACATGTAGGACTTCTAGAATATTCTTCCGAAAGGTGACTGGATATCTTGGGCTCCTTCTGAGCCTCTTACAGTTTCCTCGAGTTCATCCGTGGTCCGTCATCACATGGACAGTATTGCAACCATGGATTACTTAAGTGTTCAATTATTTATAGCATTTTATAAAATATCAGTAGGCATTAAAACAAATCATACTTGAAATTTAATTCTTTCCATCGGAATCTACAAATCAATTTATCAATTATTCAATAACATCATCATTAGTATGGGTTTGTGGTAGATGTTAAGCTTTTGGTTGAGATCATGAACCGATCAATGTTAGACTATCATCGGAAACCTGGAAGTATTTAACGGCCGTTTCGTCCCAGCTTGGGACTCGTCAGCAGTGCTCATTCACGATCACGCACATGGGACCCGAACCCAGGACCTTCAGTCTAACGCGAACGCTCGACCTCTAGACCATTGATCCGGGATTCAATAATGGATGCAAATGAAAACACCACCCTCAACTAGTCATCCGCTTAAGAGAATGAAAAGCAATTACTGATACTTTTATGTAACGGGAATATTAACCCTTGCCTTTCCACACCAGCTATTTCTTTGAAACACACAGTTCTGTATATTTTTTTATTAATTAACACTTAGAATCTACTATTCTTTTGAATAAATGTTGAAATCATTATTTACTTCGATGGTTTACTGTCAATTCATCTTATCAAAATTTAATTACTTATGAAATAATCTATCTCTTAATAAACTAACCGGATAATGGTAAAAAAAATTCCCCTGTGTAACAATTTTACAAGCGAAGATGAATGGTGAGTAGTGCTGGAATCCAGGACGTGAGCCTCCTCCTGTTTTGGAACCGTCATTTGGATATACCTGCACCTCAGAGCTGGTTCTCACTCCAAGACTCGAACCCAACATCGTCTCCCTCAAATGCCATCTTGTTACCTACTCAGCCCCTGAGTCCTGATAGCTTGTGCAATGGGGTGAATTTAATAATTTTGCATTTTTGTAGCATACATTTTAAGTTACTTAATTCCTTATCAGTAGTTTTCTTTTTATTTAAAAGTATCCGTATTACTCTTATTAGGTTTTGGTTTAGGAGTAATGATTCATGATGGTTTCAATTTGTCTTCAGTATGGGAAGTCAGTGATTCAGTATGTCACAGTAAACTTTGGATACCAAAACATATAATAAGAATAGTTTGGGTACTTTGGCAAACATATTTTGTGTTCAAATATCATAGAGTAAGTTAGTGTTTTGTAATTTCATCGTTATACAATACAACCAAAACAGTTAAATAAAAACTTTACCTAGCTGAATAGTTTTATGAATTTAGCTTCACATTTTGAAAATTATTGAAAAGAATTCTAAAATTTTTGGCAAACAGTAAGTTTCTACTTAACAACACGATTTTCAATAACGAACAAAATAGGATTACTCGATTCATATAAAAATTATAACTCAACTACCCATAGTACTGTACAAAATAAAAGTATCCACCGATTATTTACAAATCTGAAATCACGAGCTTTTTTATGAATCAAATAGGCTGTTGGATTATAGTCACTAGAAAAGTTTGTACTTTGTATACTTAATTAAGAATTAATTACAGTACAAAGAATAAAGCAGACATTACATGACTATGTAGCGGTAAATAAATCCCCAAAATAAAATCCTTCTGTAAGTCTTCGATATTGAATGCTAACCACATTAGTTTTAATGGACTCATCTAGCTGAAGGTACTAGGTCATGCATCCACACCAGATCACGAGTGGAAGTGCCGTGCTCAACATCCCCTGCAATCGCTAGCCAGTCTAGATCAGTCGATTCTCAATATATATGATAGTCAGTGGTCTAGTGGTTAAGCGCTGGCGCGCGAAACCGATGGGTCTTGGGTTTGAATCCCGCAAGGCGGGGTAGTGGATGCGCACCGCTAAAAAGTCCCACAATAGGACGAAACGGCCGCCCAGTGCTTCCAGGTTTTCCATGGTGGTCTAGCTTGAATTGACTTATAATTTTCATCTTAAATTATAAAAATCCTATTTATATATATGATGGTATAACAATAAAAATTTAGCTAAAAATAATATTTTGTCTTCATTTAATCATGTTGTTTTATTTTTTTCTAGGTTATATTACACCGTCATCGAGTAACAGTACGTTTGTCTTGCATACATTTGGCTACAATAAATTTTTGTCATTGGCTTAAAGTTGTCGTTAGTGAAGTGGCGTTAAGTTTAAAAACACCAGTTTCTTATTCATCAACAGTTCATTCAAATCATATTTCAAATATGATCATTGAAAAGCATAATATGGTAAGTCTGTTAATCATCAACATCAGTAGTAGACTATGTAATATTATCAAATTATCAGTATGGGATTGTGAAGATTGTTGAGTTTAGATTGACATCATGAATGGATCAATGTTAGACCACCATTGAAAACCTGGATGCACTGGATCGCTATTTCGGTCTAGTATGGGACTCCTCAGCAGTGCTCATTCACGATCCCTCACTCGAGATTCCAACCCAGGACTTTCGGTATCGCTCGCGAACACTTAACCTCTAGATCATCCAACAATGTTAATGTCTAACACTAAAACGAAACAGCCGTATAGTGCTTTCGGTTTTCAATGACGGTCTAACATTGTTTCGTTCATGATATAAATCATCAAATTAACTAAACAGATTATGTTATCACTGAATGTATTTCTTTTTCAATATTTGAAATACTGTTTAAAGCATCAATATTTGCATAGTATTTGTAAGATGATTCAAATTATCCTTAAAGAAAAATATAATGCTGAAATTATTCTTATAAAATAACATGTTTTCTATGATCACAACGTGTCTATATTACTTCGTCTAAAAGTCCTTTCATTTAAGGTACTCTATTCAATTTTTGCACAGATGCTATTAACGAAGATCAATTCGAAACTTATATACTTCTAAAGATTCATACACACTTACTTGCTAGTTATACTAAGTGATTCATTCTAAAGTATACTGAAATATTAATAAAATCTCGATACTCATTATTGTTATGCCCTTAGCTATACGATTATCACGAAATACAATTGCCAATTTAGATACGCTGACTTATACCACCAAACTAATGACGCATGCACAAATACGAGGAGTCTAGAGTTTCGATCGGTCTTTTGCCGCCTTGCCCTACCTGTTAAGTCCAAAACGCTAATCTCAGCCTCCAAAATATGAATATCTTAAGAATAGTAAATCATATGGTAATAGTCAATAGGTCAAATAAAACCTTATAATTAAAGGAATATGGATATAATATAGTCACTTAATAGTCGTACAATAAGAATATACGTATAATATTAGTCCTTAAGTAATTCCTAATGGTTACCATTCATTTATTCTCATCCGGATATAGCAATTACTACCGCTATACACAACATGAATTTCATATCTTTTTCAATTATTGTACAATAAAATAAACCTAAGAAACAGATGCTCCCCAACTTAAATATACTGAACTACTACATTAATAGTTTCATTAGCCATACATTAGTACTTAAATCCCATGTTCATTTATATAAGTATAATATCAGCGGGAAAAGTAATCTTCATGTCAATAACGAATCCAACTCATCTGCATCAATTTTGTATTGAATCAGTTAGCTGAGGTAATTATTGAATATACGCTTGTATACTTATGTTTTCACGTACCTATCTTCTAATTGGTAAAATCTTTTCAAAAATACTTATGATCATTCTACTTTATCGTGGACTGATCACTTTTAAAGATATTTACCATATGAAGTCAACATAGTGGTTGTACCCGTTTAGCTTTCACCATAAGACCTAAAAGCTTAGTATTCGTTCGATGGTGGAGTTATGAGCGTTTACCGCTTAGAGTCCCATACTGAGAGTGGAGAAAGCTGTTTATTGCCTTTTTTATTCTTAGTGGATTGCTAATTGAGATCAAATCGTGACAGTTATCACTTACTTATTAAAATCCATAGTTTTACCAATTACATCTATTCATTATTTACTCATTCATACGTCAATTCTTTCAAACTATAGAAAATAATCACTTACAATTAAAAAGTTATGACAACACAATTCCTTAGATGATAAATAAAATAATAATTTCAGCTACATAATCATAGTAGTGAATAACTAACCAACAAAATATCTTACCAGTTGACCCATTAAAATGAAAATTACATTATTTTCATATTTTGCAAGTATCTAACTGCTACCTAATGGTAGTTAACAGTATGGTACTTTAATACTGTATTTTTTATTTCAGACTCATCTTTCATTGAATCCTTACAATGAAAATCATGCTCAAAATAGTAAGCATACTATATTAATACCTTTGATTAAAATCATTAAAAAAGAACTATCAAATGATGTTTAATGATTGATTGGAGGTAAAATCTAAGGTCTGTTTCCCGCTTACTAGGAGGAGCTAACTGCTAGATCAATAAAAACTCTAAACAGTATGGATTTGTGATCAAAACCCTCGGCTTTCAAACATTAAGTCTCAATCTCAAATCTCGTGCCACCTATCTCGGTTTGAGTAACCGGATTGTATCACCAGTCCTTAAACTTAAGTTGTGACCTGAAATCTCTATGCGCAAATCTGTACTCAGTAACTGGGTTAATAAAAGAACTGAACTGTGATCAAAGGCTGTACAACTGAGCTGTAAATAACCATTTGTATTTCTGTATATTGGTCCTGAATGTCATTACTATTAGTATTTATCGGTAAAATTACAAATTGAATAGTGAACTAACAATTTTAATATTTCTTTTTTAGTCCGTTTGTTGTCGGACTCCGGTAAGATTGAACAACAATTATATTAATGAAATATAGATCCTTTTTTGTTGGCATACTTTCTGTCAACACATCACGTTGATACAACGTAAAATAATAAAATTCGAATACGAATCGTATTTAAGATATGTACATTTCAGATAAAAGATCCAGTCATCTTATAAAGGCTCGAAGTTTGGTAATAAAACTCAGAGTATAACAAAGTGACTCGTATTTTATAAGTCATATAAGAAATGCAAAAGGTGGATAGATATATACGTACTAAAAATTGTGCATTTGTAAAACATGGTTAAGGTTACATGTAAATAGATAACAAGGACAAATATGTGAGTGACTGAATAAATACAAAGATTATAGAATGTCATTTGTTCTAACGTTAGAACAAATCACATGGATTAGAGTATTAATTGCTATACTGTGTTTTATATTTGATGTCACGTTATGGGGAGAAGTAGAAAACCACTTGATATGGATTACTTTCATGATAACGCTATCACTGAATTCAACAATCCTAAAAAAACATATAGTGTTAAATGTATTATTCTTCAGTAATCGATTAGTTTTCTTGCTTTAGTCTAATAAGGGAGAGATCAATTATGTAAAAAATAACCTGATTTCCTATTTCTCTCACTCTTTAATGATTCGAAAAATAAGCTAAATGACGTTTTCTATCTTTTTTTGCAATATATATTATACATTTAGGTCAGTATACCAAGAGTGATACATTAGTCGGAACAACAAATCATCCTAACAATAGCACTATCTCAAAAGTATGCCTTGGTTATTTGGGTGTTACACTGGATCCATTTTTATTTCCACTAGCTATTGAATATAGTTTAATAACTGGGTCATTTTTTTATAAAATGTTACAACGTTTAGATCAGACATTTCCAAAATCATTTAATCGTACATCAAATGGTAGTGAATGTCTCGCGTTGAATTCATCAAGTTTATTAAGTCCATCACCAACATCAATCTCTAATAGTATAAATAAAAGTGAATTTGATAAATTCCTTGAAGATGATGTCTCAGAACAACAACAATATCATCCAGAATGTACAAAACACATGTCATATAGACCAGTAATGGGATGTAAAGTATTTCTTCCACTATTGAAAAAAAATAAACTACCAATATTAAATGGAGATTACGCAGCATCTATAGGTAAGTAACATTTTACTCTCCAAAAAGCTGTAACAGCATTTATAAACAAATAGAAGCAATCTATGTATTTAATGGACTGACAACAAACCTCCTAATTTGTGCTTAGCCGTCCTTATCTACCGCTTGAATTTTGATTTACTTGTATTATTAGCCTGAGACCTGATGGTTTTCGGTTTAATTTCTAATGGAGTCCTGAATGCCCATTAATGGGGAGTCCCATACTGACACAAAACACACACACAATGATACTTATTTTTAAGTGGTTATTTGACTGTGATCAGCCCGACCCAATCTCCCAAGTTCGGGAAAATTTTGGGGTATTCTGGGGAAACCCTCGAAGTTAAATTACCTTGACCAAGGTTAAAGGGAAATTTTGGGGAAATATTGGGGAGTTTCCCCGCGTCTGGGGAAATTTTGAGGTTTTAGTGCAGTTTCCACAAAGCTGGGAGCTCGGGATTCCGTGATGTAAACTATCAAATCCGACAATCGTCACAATCTCCTTACACTAACGAACCCGCAACATCATCTGAACAATGTTCATTCTTCTCAATGCATATTAATATGCATTGCCAGCCATCACGATGTCTCTGAGTGTACAGTTCAGTAACTTGTACAGCGAAAGGTTGTAAACGCTTCACAAAAGCACCTAAATAGGTTATGCAATTATTTGACATAATGACTTGTTAAAACAAACCAGAAACAGACAACTAGTTGAAATATCTAAATGTCAGGAACAGGTCGCCCAGATGTTCAAGCAAGCTGCCTTCAAATCGGCATTTGACTGAAATAAATTTTCACAACATATAACTTAATACCTAATTATACATGAAAATAATGTAGATTTGGATTTTTGTTGTGGTATAACTAAAAACTTGAGTAAAAATTAAGAAGAAACCATAAAATTTGAACTTTCACTAATTAAAATATTTCAACAGTTGAAATCATGTGTCAATTGAAGCTAGACCACCGTGGAAAACCTGAAAGCACTAGACGGCCGTTTCATCCTAATATGTGACTCCTCAGCAGTGCGCATCCACGATCCCGCTCACCGCGAGATTCGAACACAGGACCTATCAGTCTCGCGCGCGAACGCGAAGCGAACTAAACCACTGAGCCGGTCGGCATCCGACGGTGTTAATGTTTAACTTCAACCAACCCACGAAATTGAGCCACCGTACACCATTGTCTTCAGTGAGCTGATATCTCACAAATGACCCGATTGAATTCCACTGGTCACTGCTTCTCACTAGAACCCCAAGAAATGGTTCTTAAAACCAGTCACTACTGAGCAGATGATTATTATCAGAAGGGGTTTTGTGGAGATTTTAGAAATTTTAATGGTCAAATCATGCGCCAATCGAAGCTAGACCACCATTGAATACCTGGGGGAAACCCGGGGACGTGATCGTGATTGCGCCCTACCGAGCAGTCCCATACTAGGATAAAACGGCCGTCCAGTGCTTCCAGGTTTTCATAGTGGTCTAGCCTCAACTGACTCACGTTTTCAACTATTGAAATTACTAAAATCTCCAAAAAAACCCATACTAAATTTGAATCACTAAATTATGAGTGACTCCAATTTATTGCAATCACCACAATACCTGAAAATCCTGTGTTCGATCATGTTTACACATATTGCTTAAATGTCTCAAACTCAAACAAAACCATCGTTCATTAAAATTTGTTCTTTTTTTGGATAAACTAAGTCTGTGACTTAGCTTTATGATATTACTTCGTAAGAAATTTCTACTTTAAGTAATATATCTCACTTATTTATTATTTTTCTTTTATTCATATTTACTTAACAATTGAACTACTTATGAAAACTACAATCAAATATATTTCAATCAGTTGAAGAAAGTAAAGAAATATCTGATGATGATGATAATAATAATAATAATAATAATTATAATGAAAAATCATTAAAACTAGATACAGGTCATCAATGTCATCGATCACATTCTGGTTTATTTTTAGGTATTATGTTATTAATAGCTAGTATTGTATGTATGGTATTATTTTTAATACGTGGACGTAATGGTTTTAAACAATTAGCAGCATATATTTATCAAAAATCAAAATTAACATTATCATCTATTAGTTTATTAGCTTGTATTATAGCAATAAAACAAACAAATCAATTAAAATTTCGTCGATTAGAACGTGGTGAAAATTTTGAATATAATTTATTAACTATTGGTTTAATTGGTTGTATTATATATCATATGTTTTTATTTATACCAGCATTAGAAACAATAATACATATTATATTATTTCATTCAAATGATATAAAAGAACATTTTATATATTTAACAAATGATCAAATACAATATACAGCTATTATATATATAATTAAATGTACATTAGAAATATGTCAAGCATTAATACAATTTTTTTTTATTGTTGAAACATCAAGACGTAAAGTATGTTGTATTAATCAATCAAGAATAAAACCAGGTCGTTCTATTATAGTATTTTTATTAATATGTAATTTAGCATTATGGCTTATAAATACATTTGAAGTAAGAAGTGCTGAAACACAATTACCATTATATAGACAATATTTTGGTGTACGTACATGGTCTGTTATTACATATTGTTTTATACCATTAATTATATTTTTTCGTTTTCATTCAACTGTATGCTTAGCTGAATTATGGACAAAATTATATACATTAAGATAAAGTTATATATTCCTTTGATGATTTTGATTTTTGTTTATTATACTGAAGACGTTCAGACAAGTTAGCTGGACGAAACGTTGGAATTATTTAAATTTTATTCTCTGAGATTATTTCAAATATAATTTCTCATATATAATTAAGGTAAATTATTATTTTAAAAAAATTGATTACTCTATCTCTCTCTCATTACCTCTATCTGTTTATGTCTCTTACACACACACACACACACATACCGAATTCAGTTTGCTTGACTAAATCAAACCAAGTAATTGTTTGTGTTCAGATGCATCTAGAGATGTAATTAGGATACATTTTATAGATTTTATACGCATATATATATATATATATATATATATATATATATATATATATATATATGAAAATAAAACATAATTATGAAATAATACATCGTTATTCTTTTATCAGATAATTGTTTATTGATAACAGTGATAAGTGAGACACGAAACTGATAACAAGGGAACTTATATATAACAAAAACTTGAATTCCCTTTCATATGTAGACATCCTATTCATCCGTTATTTGGTCACATATTGTCGCTTTAGAAAATGTCATTGAATATCTGTAGAGACAGGTAAAAACAAATTGAAAACAGATAACGAATAGAGCAAACAGACACATAAAAACGCCTAAGGTTATATGTGAATAATTGACGAGGGTGAATGTGTATACAATGACATAAGAACCCTAAGTTAGTTCGTCTGTCCAAATTTAGAATAAATCACATATATTGCTACAAGTAAAACAGTATGAATGTACTGTCGGAATATGGTCTGTCTCCATGTAAGTGGGAAACGAAACCGACAACATATATAACGAAAACTCGAATTTCCTTCCATATATAGACATCCTCTTCATGCGTCGTTATTTTGCCACACATTGTCGGTTTTAACAAAATTCTTTTGTACACGCTATTCGTAAAAGTACTTCCGTGTAAATGACTAATTTATCAACCACAAATCTTCAGTCAACTCTCAATGCGATTCATTTAAAGCAACCTAAGTGCTTGGTTCTTCTGTGTTAGCTTTTCAAAGTTTCAGTTATTAGACTAGATGTACGGTCCATTGGCTCAAACTTCGTTTATGTTTTAGTTCAAATAACTAGTCTGTCGACTCAGTAACAGTTTTTCCTTCAGGCTTATTTGTGGTATATTAGAATCACTTGCTATCAGGTATATTCTGTGACTGTCCCAGTAAAGAACAACATTCAGGTAATTTGCTTAGATGTTAAATATCCTGACCTTTCATTACTTTAAATAATGAGATAATTCATCGTTATTCCTTTTTCAGTTAATTTTTGATTGATAACAATGATCCTCAACTATATTCATGTTTTAATAGTATACGTTATTAATAAATAATGTTGCTGTGAAACAAACTTATTACCTATAGTTACATTAAACAAGGCTACTTAAATATTACTTGAAAATAAATGTTAAATATTTTCAGAGACCAACAATGAAAATAAACAATTGTGGCAGTGAAATAATATTCAAATATCAAATGATATGCCGCTAATGGTTTAGCTGGCAATCCTTATATTCACACAAATTGTCCAAAAACACAAAACTAATGTATAGACAATTGGCATAAGTTTACATAGGAGCTTTGTATGCGTAAACAAAGTAACGGCAAGGCGAGAAAGATCTTAGCGAACAAACCAAACAAAAAATACATGAGACATGAAATTTATTAGCTATTATACCAATAAATTCGTTCACTTATTAAAAGATATTGTAACTGCAAGCATTCTTTAATATAATAATGATAATGAAACATGTCGAAACAATAATATGATTATACTGACGTTAAAGAAGTATATTCTGCTAAAATGTCTAGGAATCAACAAACGAACCAGCAATTAAATTTTGGAATGAGCAATACTGTGATGGTTAGAAATAGTTGAATTATTATACGAACTGGGAATCCCCGGAATAGCGCAATTTAAACCAAACAAAACTAGATGAGCACAACCAAACGTATTGTATATAGAATTCGAAATCAGGCAGACATCAAGTATAAAGGAATCATTAGTCCATACAAGCATCACAAATAAAGAAATTTAAAATGAGCCAGAAGATCTAACTAAATATGACCGCTGCTTAAACCAAACAATAAACGTTCATGTTAATGAAAACTAAAAATCTTTCAACATAACCAGGAAAGGATTTACGGTCATTGTGGCATCATCGTGATAAGATATCTTATTCATAAAAAGAATGGTTAACCCTAGTATATCGATAGGGTGACAAATACATAAACAGAGGTTAAATCTACTTGCAGTCTCTTCTTAAATAAAAAAACCCTCGTTTTTTTTATTGCTTCTAATTCTATTTTTCCTTGTTCACAGAAACCTAATTTACCCTCACCTGTAATTTTTTTAGATACTTTACTGGCTTACCTCTCTTTGATTCTACTTGTTTAAACTGAATGTTTTAAATCATTTTGTCATTGAATTGAGTTACGAGTACGGTTTTTTAGAAACATTTATTATTCTCATTAATTGATTAAATGTTCTTGTTTCGATATGCCTGTGAAAACTTCTGTGACCAATTTACTGGATTTCAATTTTTTATAATTTTTTTCATCCTCCTAAAGGATATTCGCAACAAACTGTTTGATTTAAAATAGATTCTTGCATCCTCCACGTCTTGTTGGTCCCCGAAAACAGTGAACTTTAAAAATAGTTAGTTAAAACCCTGAACAATCCATTAGACTATCATGCGTAGTTATAACGTCTGCAGCTGAGAACTGAAGTTTGTGGTTGGAATCTAGTGTTGACGGGAATATCCAACGAAAAAAGTCGTTATTAGCATTATTGTTGTACCACTGAATAAACCTTCTGTAATTGTTAAAGGAACAATTTTCTGTGTTATTGTTTGTTCATCAGTTCTGGTTTTGCACTCATGGATAGTTAAGTAAACTGTATTTCGTTCTCTGTAAGGACGACAATTTTTCAACCGTGGCACTTGCCATTATTCACTTTCCTTTTTCTTAAGATGCAATCATGCACAATCGGAAAACTAGCTCCCTTGTTACTCTTTGTATTCGAATGAGGAAAAAGGTGAAAATATATGATGCAGTTCGTTACAATTACACATTATGGTTGCTATGTCGTGACAAGAATAATGAATGGTAATTTTGGGACCTATTTGTGGACTAATACTACACGTATATTTTTATCGTATAATTGTTAAATAACTAAACTATTCATATTCATGTTCCTCTTATTATAAGCTTTATTTTGACCTATGAATCAAGTTTAAACGTTTTACCATTCTTGAATTATGCCCTGTTTATTAGTCACTGCCTCCCACATTCGCAGCTACATTTGACCAAACTTTGAACAAATGTTATTTTCTATTTTATACTGTGTTGTGGTCTGTTTGATTGGTAATATAAACTCAGTATGTTTGAAATATGACGATTCATATCGCAGAGGCTGAGACTGGCGTTCTGGACTTATCTGGCTGGGCTGTGCGGAAAGCAGGGCCAATCAGAACTCTAGGACGCTCGCACGTGTTTTACGCGTCCTTGGTCCGATCGATAATTCACTGCCCATCTACTCGACGGCCCTCAATATATAACAATGGCATTACTATAAACTCAAACAAACGACTAAATCTGAAAAAACACATGATGATTCGCTTAAAATGCAAGCACATCTCCACGACAATTAAGTGATCATGATTCAGTTTAGCACACACACATTTTCTGTCACTACCAAACGCACTCAATATTCAGTTGAACTACATAAAACCTAATTCCACTAACCTCTTACTCCTCTCCACTTTATACTCGGTCAAATAAAATTTCTTTTTCATATGGCTCGATTTCATCGGCCTGTGCCTTTTCGTATTCCAGCCTTTTGGGCGCACCATTTTGAATCTAGTCCTGACTAGTGTAGACATAAATCAGAGTCTGCTTTCAAACAAGTGCATTTCATCAGTCGTCATATAGGTAGGGCATATTCTGCAGTTTTTGGATTTATACTTCATCCCAACAGTAAAAAGAAAGTGAATGTTTGAATAACAACATAGTTTTCTTTGTTACGTTATACTTTCGGTTGTATAATAAATTTACGATTCCATTAATTCTTGAACTGGCTAGTAACATTTTGAAAATACACATCTCACACTTGTGAGGTATATGGATAACTAGGCTTAAATATTGTACCTCGCTATCACCAGTGCCATCATGTAACATCACCACACCTTATTTTGAGGTGAAGAAATATAACTCTCATGGAAAAATACTGTGGTGTTTGAATCAACCAATGATTCCTTTGTACTTGTTGAATTCATGGTTTCGAATTTCAAATACAGTACATTCGTTAGTGCTTGTCTAGTACTTCTTGATTCAATTGCGTTATTTCTGGGATTCTTACTTCGTACAATAATTCAAATACTCCTAATCATCATAAATACTTAGTGCTGATGACTAAAACGATTTTGAATCGAACTCAAGATTATGAAACTTAAGTTATCCCAGAGCACTGGTTCTGTCAGGAATATCCAATTCCGGTCGATGAGAAATGAATTTGCAAGAAGAATATCTAGGTTCAAAGGAAGAGCTTTACTGCTAAGTTCACCCAGTTCTGAGGAGAAATTTATTGCTAAGAAGACATTGACGTTTTTGAGGATGACTAAACGAATATTTGCTTATCAAAATTATTTACAGACCTATGGTGGTAAATGAATCCTCAAAATCGATAGCTCTGTATGCCTTCGTCATTTGATGCTGACCGCATTAGTTTGATTGAACTCACCTAGCTGAATGCGCTCTGTCACTCATCCGCACCAGATCATGAATGGGTATCCATGCTACGTATACCTTTCAACCAAGAGTCAGCTTAGACCAAACGTCCCTTCGACATACCAATATACATCTTTAAACTCCTTCATTTCTGACTTATGACTTGAATGAGTTGATATACGTCGATTATGAAAGCGTCACTATTTAAGGCGTTGTAAGATTCTGAATACTTGTGACATTTTTAGACCTCTATCACATATATCCTTATTTCACAATCATTGAATAACTAGATTAGATACATTTGTATTCCTTTTATCATAAGCTTTCATTTGGTTCATTACCCACTAATATGACACTTACTACTCCTAATTGCAGTCTCTTATGCACTCAGAGACTTTTGACTTGGTATTTTTTAGTTGTTATTTTTTCATTACATCGTGTAATTTGGCCTGGTCTGTATGTGTATAAGATAGTTATGTCTAAAAATTCCTATTCACTCAATCGATAGGATATTTTGTCATGTACTAAACATTCAGGGCTGGGCGAGAAGCTAATATAGCGTCACTCAACAACGATTCGCAGTCTACTAAAGGCTGTCACCACTAGTTGATGTGTCGTTGTTTTAGAACAGAGATAAGGTCATAGAAGTCGTTATTTTGACTGGCGATATTGTCACATGCTAATTTACATGGACAGAAGTCACTAAAAATGCAGTCTATGGTAACATAATCTACAAGGACGTAAACAAAGCTTTAAAAATCTATCCCACGAATAGCCACTCATTTCTTTCTCAGCAGTTTTGCAACACGGAGTAATGACAGAGCTTATGGGGCTGATACAAAGACCAATAATGACTGACATCTGGAACAAACAGTACAAGCTTTGTGGTCAGTTTTCGGCCCTCAAGCTACGTCCGGAGAAAATGAGTCCATATTACGCACATTCTTTACTGCAGCCATACAACGTTTAAGTGAGGTAAGCTTGGTTATTTTAGACCACTTCTCGTTAATTAACCAATAAATTTCTACTTAAGACAGTCCTCATATTGATTACTCACAAGCACGAACGTGTATGACGCATAGCAAAGCATATATTCGAGCTTTTACAAACTGTATAATAACATTAAGCACTTAGCACGAAGTATACATCACTCTGAACCACTTCTACCACGGGTGATAGAACCCTGGATACATAAGAATGCATAAGAATTGGTGAAGCTTTAAATGCCAATGAGGAAGAACGATTGAGATGGTATAGCTCAGCTTGGTCACTACAAACGTAATTTTCGTATCTATATAAAACGCATTCTTCAAATGTTTTCAAAAAGTAGTATCTCTACTCACACGACAGAATTCGAAACAGATAATGATGGAACTTCGGCAAACGATGATATAAACTGAACCGCCACGTCATGACAAGCGTATAGTATTAGATTAAGTGCAGCATTCCAGATGGATGAATATGCACACTGATACCATAATGAGACGTGAACTTTTTTTTAATAATAAATACTTTTTGAAACACCTCAAACCAATACTTGTTATGCAACAACTCCTTGATTTATTAACTGAAAGTTTAAAGATAGTATGACCATTGACCCTTGTATCTACCAGTCACAAATATTGATAATAAATGGAATTTAAAATGTTAGTTATTCCAGGTTTCGACCACGTAATTTGGGCAACTGCTTTGACTAGGAGATTAACGGTAAAAGTTCTTTCTTGCAAACAAATAAACGATAATGGGCCTTGAAACACAACGAAAATACTTTGTTATCAATATGAGTATTTCTAAGAAACATTTTAAGCAGGTCTAAAACATCTTATCGTCATTCGTTTCGATAATTTGGAAATTAACACAAAAAAGGGCATTGTGTCCTCAAAACTTAGAAAGCCGATGAATGTTTTCTTAAAAGTCTACTCATCTGCTCAACAACGCCAAAAATTTTTAGAGCATAAAAATGTAACAAACACTTTCAAACTTATCTTTTGTTGTTGGTAAAATAAGACGCTTCATCGACAAAAAGCAAGAAATATTCTTATCTAAGAATTATGTTCAGTAATAAATATATTGCATAATCTGGGAAAGTGAATAACAGTTTTTATTTTATGATGAATTCTAGAAATCAGCAAATCTAAATAATTTTTACTTCCGCGTACGTCTATGTTGCAACAACAAATGAATCAAATGCACCACCTTGAACTCACCGGTAGTATTATAGCGGCTGGTATTGTGCCAGACCTACTTAGGTTATTTTAGATTCTGAACGGACCATGTTGTTCATTCTTCTCAAGCTACATTTCGAACATGTCAATTGTTTGCATGATAATTCTGACTTTTCAAATGACTATATGTGTGTTAATTGCTGACCCTATTCGTTATGTAGACTATAGGTATCGATTCACGCTTGATTAAATCGAGTTGGCTTACTCGCCTTCCGCACTGCACATCAATTTTTTTGCTTTTCTATCTTTACTTCACTTCTCTGATTGACCGTTCAGATCAGTGATCGTATGAAACATACGTATTCAAAATTCGTTTCCGTATTTGGCTTATTTTATTTCATTATTCCCTAATTCGAATAAGGACGGTGATTATTTATGAGGTTAAGCGGCATGTATAAGTCAATAACAACTAACATACAGATATATAGCCACTAAAGCATCTATATAGACATTTCTCAAATCAAAAATGATCCTGACAAAGAATAAAATTTCAGTTTTCAAATATCCACGAACAAAATACTGAAAGTTTTAGGCCAAGAGTTTGAAAAAAACTATAATGTGCGTCGTGTTCGAGTCACCTAAAAAAGTATTAGGCAGTAACTTCGACCCAATTTTATCAACAGAACACGCTTTCTTCACCATATCAGTATGTCAGATCAATATAGGTTTTCTATCGGTAAAATGCATCTACAAGCTCATCACATTGAAGAAACTCAACAAAAAGCCAATCGACTGCAGGATTTTCTGAGACACCACCCAAGCACTGATTCGGTTATAAAAAATTTTTAAAGCGCCTAGTTCACTGACTGTCCCTATTAAATTCGAACATAGTTAATCTTGTTAAATATACATTATTATCGTCACCCTGACATATTATTATGTAACAAATTTTCTTCAATAACTTTCGAAGCAATTGTTTCACAAAAATAACTTATTATTTTCAAAACCAGTTTTATTCAAGTTGGACGTTGGCTACTGGCTTTTAAATGGTGAAAATATCCAGGCGCCTTCTTTAGTTGCCTGACACAAGCGGTATTTCAAACAAACAAGATGGCCTGTACGAAAACTAAACGTAGAGCTCGTACTCGCACTCAGCGGTTCACTTCGAATGTCTTTTCTATGTTTAATGAAGCTCAAATTAGCGAGTTCAAGGTAAGCTTATAACTTTCTTAGGAACAATATTCAATGTCATAATGTATTTTCCAGTCGTTGGAAAATTATTCATTTTGTTGGTAAAAGTCATGCACTGGCTTATTTCATAAACCTCTATTATGTCAACAGATAACTGTTACACTCTTTTGACTGGCACTGAGTTCAATAACTTTGTTTGAAACTGGGTTTAATTTTGAAAACATACAGACATGCGGCTTTCATCACTTTCGCATCTGAAAGCCGGCGATTAAAAATTATGCTGTTCACTCATGAATCTCCACAATAATCTCTTCCTCTCTCCTTGTTAGCAGGATGTAGTACGTTCCCGATTTCAGGGTCTTTATAAGTTGTCTCTGTAAATTCCCTAGCAGTCCACTGAGTTTTGAACAAATATAGTTTTATAATCTATAAGATTTGAGACGTATGGTGTTGACAAAAATGTACCAACGTCTACGGATTCGGTCACAGTAATTTTTGTCTTACCTTTAGCTAAACTATCCAAAAACATAGTAGTGTTTATTGCAGATAAGATAACTCCTTATTTAAGTTGAAGACATATTTCCGAAAAGTTAACTGATAGTTTGTGTTTTAATTTGAGTTTCTCTAACAGTTTACGATTTAACACAAATGTACCTCGGCGTTAGCTGCCATAATTCGTGTAAGTAGGAAAGAAGTTATTTAGCTGAAATAGTAGTAGTTGTGGGCAGATCTAAACAAAGGGAGCGTAGTCCTATAGGATTGAAGAAAAATCTCTGTTAAGGAAAAAACGATATTGAAACAATTTAAGGCAAGATTAATATCGTACGTATCGTCATCACTACTTCCACTTTTAATCCATGTCATTAAAAGTCCTTAACCGTAAATTACTGCTATCAAAAAACCACATCTTTATACAGGCCAGCCCAACTGCCGATAACTTTATGGACTGATGTTAGATTAAAGAGGACTACAACGGCTTAACCATAGTACTCCAAACCAATACCAAAGGTTCCACATGGTTATCGTTTACAAATTTTTAATGATATTTCTGTCGATATATGGCTACAAAATTTTTCAGAAACTTGTGAACTACTGTTTGCAGCACTTAGTGTACTATTGGTCATCATTTCAATCTTTTAAACAGGAAGCATTCCTTATGATTGATTCAACTAAAGATGGTGTTATTGATAAGCATGACTTAGAAGATATTTTCATCTCTTTGGGAAAATCACCAAACGATGAGTATTTAAACGATATGCTTTCACAAGCACCCGGTCAAATAAATTTCACAATGTTTTTAACATTATTTGGTGAGAAAATGATGGGGTGTGATCCGGAAGAAACGATTTTAAATGCCTTCGCTTGTTTTGATCCTGAGGGGACAGGTATGTGTAATGAACTTATATGTATCCCTTTGTTTTTTGAAATTAATATTTCATATCGGTGAGAAAATTGTGTCAAAAGCCGTGTACCCTTTTGTGTCATGTTTTTTGTCATTACGTAAGAAAAACATCACTTTATTTCAGTGGGATATTTCTAATAAACCTTCTCTATATAGTCCTCATTAATACATAGTGCGAAAAGTTGGAATGGTTCAAAATCTAACAAGTGTATATGTGCTGTTCGCAATCATATAAAGTATGTTTAGTGTCGGTTCGACTTTAGTATGATTAGCTGATAATGCTGTTAGTGAAATATATACATCTTAACTATCTTCGTATATATTCCGTCTAATTAACACGTTTAAAACAGCGATATATCAAAAGGGTAAATACTTTTATTTTGGATCGGTATATTTCATGCAAACGTTATTGCAAGTTGACCATAAGAGATACAGGGCAGAGAAAAGCTTACCAGTTTACTCAGCTTTAGAAAATGTCATTGAATATCTGTAGAGACAGGTAAAAACAAATTGCAAACAGATAACGAATAGAGCAAACAGACACATAAAAACGCCTAAGGTTATATGTGAATAATTGACAAGGGTGAATGTGTATACAATGACATAAGAACCCTAAGTTAGTTGGTCTGTCCAGATTTAGAATAAATCACATATATTGCTACAAGTAAAACAGTATGAATGTACTGTCAGAATATGGTCTGTCTCCATGTAAGTGGGAAACGAAACCGACAACATATATAACGAAAACTCGAATTTCCTTCCATATGTAGACATCCTCTTCATGCGTCGTTATTTTGCCACACATTGTCGGTTTTAACAAAATTCTTTTGTACACGCTATTCGTAAAAGTACTTCCGTGTAAATGACTAATTTATCAACCACAAATCTTCAGTTAACTTTCAATGCGATTCATTTAAAGCAACCTAAGTGCTTGGTTTTTCTGTGTTCGCTTTTCAAAGTTTCAGTTATTAGACTAGATGTACGGTCCATTGGCTCAAACTTCGTTTATGTTTTAGTTCAAATAACTAGTCTGTCGACTCAGTAACAGTTTTTCCTCCAGGCTTATTTGTGGTATATTAGAATCACTTGCTATCAGGTATATTCTGTGACTGTCCCAGTAAAGAACAACATTCAGGTAATTTGCTTAGATGTTAAATATCCTGACCCTTGATGATACAAATGATTTCCATTATCCAATTCATCGAACTATATGTTTTTTACTGAAACTCTTCACATGTGGATATCTTATTTTTGTCAATTCCTCGTAATTTATGCAAAGGATATTCATTATCCTTTTTAATGAGAGCAAATTAACAACAGGAAACTGAAAATAAATTAGTTTGCGTTCGTTAATTACTTGATATTTTTTACCTCACACATACTTTACAAAATAAAACTACAAACCATTCGTTCAGGGTAAATGTATGATTAGGAATTATGCAGTGATTTTGATGAAATAAAAAAGCTCTCAGTCAGATTGCAAAGGACATTTAGGCAAACTTTGTTGCTAGATCTCATTATTTACATTTCGAATTCTCGTAGTTGATATTCTGTCCTTAAATGACCGTACGGTTCTTTGCATAAAAATTTCCGTATTTGTCGCGTTAAAGAGGTTTAAAAATTGCTAGTAAATCAAATATAGTACCACCATTTATTATTTAAATATAAGATGTTCCAAGAATAAACTGTTGTACTACTATTAAATGACTTATTCTCACACGGTACAATGAAAATCAAACAATTGATTGTGTGCTCCCACTACAGAATAAACTGAAGTTTTCATTAGATTAACAGACCATCTAGATTAATCCACGGAGTTTGTAGTTACAGTTCTAATGCTGATGCACTTTGCGAAGTTCATTTGCGTCAGCCTTTTTCTCTACATTGTCATCTAATGCTTTTGAGCTTATAGATATGCGCTACAAACTTAGATCTACATGTAGCTCATAGAAAATGTTCAACAAGCGACAGGTGTAACAATTTTTTGAAACGGTGGGTTTGTGATCAAGGCGTTCAACTCTGTTACTAAATTGTATGTCCGAACCCTGCCCTTCTTACTTCAGTTCGGAAAACCACCTAGTATGGTGGCTCATACTCAAGTACCGGTAAACTAGTTGGTTATTACATCATATTGAACTACATTTGATGCCACGAACCAACTAATAGTAACTTGGTCAAACTGAAGTTTCATGCTTGTCGAAAATTATAGTAATGCTTTTTTTTATTATCATTACCACTTAAATTAAATGCTAGTTATGTATTTATTCTGTTTATTTATAGGTGTAATAAATGAGAAACGTTTACGTGAATTAATGACTACAATGGGGGATAGATGGTCTAATGAGAAAGTTGATGAATTATTCCATGGTGCACCGATTCAAGATGGAAATTTCGATTATAAAGAATTTACACGAATGATTATGCATGGACAAGAAGAAGAAGAAGGTCAAACAAACCAAACATAATTTTATTATGAACTGATCCTTTATATAGCTGACAGCAAATTGAATTTTATATTCATCACACTTTCTAACTTTTCAAAATATATACACACGCATACATTCATTTTTGCTAATCTGTTGTATTTCTTTTTTTACATTCCATTTCTACTCTACTCATTGCTTGCTACTATTTGTGCCTTAACGAAAAAACACCAAGAAATATGTCTTTAAATGCATAAAAGCTTTTCTTTTAAATGAATTACATAGCCTTAAGTTATTTTACAGATGACCTTTTAATGTGAACGCAAGCTTTTTGGTCGCCTTCAATAAGTCAAAGTTTTTATGTTATCCTTCAATTTTGAATTTGGTTTTCGTGTCATATTTCAGGATAGATACGAAAAGCATTGATAGTCAGTAAATTCCTCATTCATCAAGTCAAGTCATTTTCGATATATTAGCCCAGAATTGAGTTTTGTGAAAGTTTAACTCGTCTCTGGAGAGGAATACCAGTTAGTTAATACGATTGCGCCTTCTTGCACACTAGTTTTCTCAACATTTAATGTTGACTGGAGCGGAATACTAATAGAAGGGTTTTGATTAATATGTATTTTAGATGTGATTAAAATTAGTAGGATTTCGAATTACTGATCTGCACACCTACAGGTCTGATGCTGATGTTAGAGATAGTTTGGTCTTCATCGAATTTTTTTCCAAGTTGAGAAATATGTTGATTATGTCTTCCTCGGGCTAATTCATTGTTTTTTACCAGGAATATCAGTGACAAATCCCGTAGATGCTGTGGAGCTGCTCATATTCGAAGTATGGAAGTCGATGTCCGGTCTGCAGAATAATTCTTGAGATTCGAATATCTAGGATACTGAAAAATAGCTCGATGTAAATACGATATTATGTTCCTAAAATTCGAAAATGTCATGTTGCATCGGAAAATATGTGATTCACTTGAGAAAGACATTTCCTGAAACAGTTTATAGTAGTGAGTCATGAGCGATGTAAAACATTGCTTATATATGCATCGACTCAAAATACATAATAACACCAAATCGAAATAAAATTATCATTGCCAATTTGAGTTTAGTAGTAGAAAAGATTAGGTATGAATAACATGACTATAGAAGGGATGGTTTTGATGAATAGAAAGTATACGTATATTTAGACAAAGATAGAATCCATCAACGCTACCGCTGCAGATTCTAAGCCATTTCACCCAATATATTCAACCATGAGTTACAATAATTGCGCGGACCCCAACTAGGCAGTGGACAATTCTATACCCACTACTTGTTCACATAAGTTCAAAATTAACTGGAAAGAATATTTCAATGGTTGAGATCATGAGTCGATCGAAGCTACATCATGGAAATACTGGACGACCGTTTCGTCCTAGCGTAGGACTCTTCAGCAGTGCTCATCCACGACCCCGCCTCGCGAGATTTGAACCAAGGACTTGTCAGTCTCGCACGCGAGCGCTTAACCTCTAGACCATTGAGCTGGCCGGCATCCAATGGTGGATTAGTTGAAGTTAAACATTAGCATTGCTGGATGCCGGTTATATATATATATATATATATATATATATATATATATATATATATATATATATATATATAAGAGAAAACAGTTAATCTCAATAAAGCTGATACATAACATAGCTCAATTGTATGTTTTGACTACTGAACTGTCCTTGAATAACACCAAATACCATACACCATTAACATGTTAATTATTTATCTGAAAGATTTTATCAATAATAATTAGTAGTTTTAAAACAAAGTGGTAGAAGTTAATTTAACAAAATTCCAACGTGTGTTACCTTATCACTTACCTTTAATAAACCATAAACTTAATTAAATATGCAGATCAATATAATAAGTAATCTATATTGAGTCTAGTTAGCCGGTGTGTGATTGGTTAAAAAAATGGACTTTTAAATGAATAAGAATTAACTTAGTTTATTGTATCTCTCTCATTCAAAATTCATGTGGTACATTACTGTGATTTCTTACTACGTTCGTATTATTTATACCATTTCCGTCTCATATAAACACATTAATGGCGTAAGTTAGTGTCAGTTACTAGCAATAACATCTGATAATGACTCACCGAGTTATAAAAACAGCTTATATATGATTGAAATTAACTGAAAAATAAGAAACTTCTAAAAATCACTCAACAAGAATTATGTGCATACTAGTGACTAAAAATCAAAGTGGATCTTATGAAATTCTAGTGAGTCATCCTGATTTGTAGTCAACTCAGTTACCAATGTGATTGATATTGTATCCTAGACAAATCAAATTACCAATATGACATTTTATAATGTTATCATTGGAAATCTCTGAATATATCGTGTTTTTCACTTTTCTGCATGAATAATCTCTGTCTGCAGCTAACCTGACGTAACTGAAATAAACAACTAAATGTGTTGTGACTAATCGAACTACTGGATTTCCGTTACGGTAATTAAATTGACAACTAGCTAGTAGCAGTAATTGGTTGAACCTCGCTATAGATAATACAGCGTTAACATTATATTCACTTTGATCAAAACTGTAATTTGCTTAAATAATTAACGAATCGTTAAGGCATAAAATTTATACATCACGCTTAGATTTTTACTGATAAAACGATTCGGTGTGCAATCATTCAGCCATATAAACGTTTAACCCTGCACATATGTGAATCCGTCCAAGTGGCCGTACAGCATTAACATAGCGAAATGAAATCATCAAGCTAAATTCCAAAGTAGTAGAAAAGACCAAACATAGGGAAATATGGGTTCATGAACTGTAAAAACCTAAGACAATTTAGAAACCTAGGTTTTAATGGAGGGTGAAGAGTGAGTGCATTTATGCCATATTAGATGATTCTGACCCATGTTACAAAGTCTCTAAGCGTTGGTTACGAAGATAAAGCATATCGCTAAGGTGGTTTAGACAAGAAAATCTAACCCCTGATCTCTAGTTTCATTTGTCCTATAGCTGGTTTCTGTTCATTTGGGAGATTATACAGATGACCATATCTCTATATACTAAATAGTTGAAAAAACTAGGCTGATTACAACCTTGTTTATGCAACTTACCAATGTGCAAATACAAATGGTAGCCCTTTCAATGAGTATTTGAGCCTAAATGCCGTACAACACTTAATAAAGAATTATACTTATTTAAGAACAATTCATAACTCTACTACTAATACTCCTACTATAATCAATAAAATGTTTCATTTTCACCAAAATGGTATATTATGCTATGTGCAGAAAAGGAAAGATTTTCAAGCAGATGATTAACATTTAATGATCAACCCTCATTATGAATAATTGTTTAAAGATAATGATTGTCGAACTACTCAATATTTAATGCTGACTAAATGTTATCGATTACATGTGAAAGGAGACCAACAGTAGGATCGAAGACGGGCGTTTCATTCTATTTGAAACTCAATAACAGTCAACCAGTACATTAAGCGACTACTGACCTAATCTTACAAAATAGTAGTCATCATTAACACAAGTGGTTTACACTTTTAAGGAATCATCTTTGAAAGTTGTAATAGATCAACATTGCCAATGAATATCAAATCTACATAATAAGTTTTATTTGCTAAGTAATTCCGACTAAATATAATACAGAATATTTCTGTATTTATACAAAATCCATTTTCATCAAATTTTGAGCTGAACTAATTGTTGACGAAAACAAAGGTATTGTAGAGTATGTACCCGAAAAAGTTTAATCTTTAGATGAGACTTATAAAATCTAAGATGAAACTTCATAAACAAACAAGAAAAACACATCAACTGAATACACTTTATTACAAATACATATATATTAGATACAAAAATGAACTGATAAATGGATAATTGAAAAATATACATAAGAAAAATGAAACAACAATAACAAATAATGCATGTTCTATTCTTTTAACATTATGATCATTATTCAGAAAATAGCTAACCATGTTAATAACCATAACGATGTATATACACATGTAATAACTGGCCATGTCCAACAACCAAATAAATCTGCTTCAATTAAACTTTGTAAAATGCATTTTTCATAACAATTTCGAACAGCATTAACACTTATTGGATATTGTTGTTGAATGTTAGAATTGATGATACACACTACAATAATTAATATTGGTGTAAATGTAATTAACCAGCCAATGATAGTGAAAAATCTTACCAGTTTCATTGTAAATGATCTGGAATAAAAGATTGTGAACAGAAATATTATTATTATTAGTAGTATTTTCATAGATTTTATATCAAGCATGAACGCTTAACTTTTAGACCATAGAGCCAGCATTCAATGATGTACGTGTCCAACTGTAATTAATTCATTACTATTATTATTATAAAAAGATCTCTAAATAGTTAGATTTGGCAATCACTTTATTGACATCAAGCGGGAATTATTATCAACTGGTGACTGATTCCCAAATACTTTTTTCTAAAAAATAACATTCAAATTGATATCAACAATAACTAATCTCTGAATGTTACTTTAAGAACTTGATTTATTTTGGAGCATTCAGTCTGACATGCATGGTGCAAATCATTTTTACGAAGTATGGAATAATCGACTAATATTGAGGCGTAGTTTATACGTGTGATAGATTGGTAGATGTATAGTTGTTCAAACCGAAGTGCGTGGATTAATGAGGCTCGAATCAATCCACCAGTTTTTTTTATATTGTCCACAAATATAATTGGGAACTTTATGTACAAATGACATTACCTAACGCGCTTAGCTACTCAAAGAGCCTTTGTACTGTCTCTAATCTAGTAATTATAGACCTAGTGAGATCTCTCACACATAAAACTGATGTTAAATCCGAAAATTATATATATATATATATATATATATATATATATATATATATATATATATATATATATATATATATATATATATATATATATATATGAGTACATATTGAGATAACGAGCCGATCTAATTTAGACAACCATTGGAAATCTTAAAGCAATGGACAACCGTTTCGTCTTCGAATACGATTCATACACAACTCTGCAACTGGAAACCGATCCCAGAACCTTCTGTCTTGTGTGCAAACTCTTAACCTCTAAACAAGTAAGCTGGGACTCAATGGTGTATATGTTTAACCTCAACCCGTGTGCGCAAGCCTGAATGTTCTAAGTTGGAATTCCGGTTGCGGAGTCGTGGATGTGCACTGCTAAGGATGGTTGCATGACTTAGATTGGTTCGTGATTCTAGAGAGATTCAATGAAATTCATAACCCCATACTGACTACGAATATACAGTTCAACGATGCTTACATTAGGTTAACAACAAATAATTCATACTTTAAAAAGTTGCCCTTATTAAAAACTACAAAGAAAAAAACACTCACTTTTTAATTTCGATATTATCTTTTCTCTGTACAAGTAAGTTTAACAGAGGAACAATTGGAATACCGAGAACAACAGCTGATGATATATTTAAGCATGTCAAACAACTTAAAAATAATGCCCAACTAAAAAGACATAACTGGCCGGTAAGATCTTGTTTATCTGCTTCATATAAATTCAAAAGTCTACGAAATATGAGAAAATAAATAGGAAAAAATTAGACAATGGAAAACCATGATGACAGAAGAGGATGATTTTTTAATGAAAAAGTTTTTTTACGGGTGATTGTTTACAAAGGATCAATGACACCAGCTTAGGATATTACTGAAAGTTAGAAAACAGTAAATAAATGTTTCATTATAGTACGGGACACCTCAGAAACGTAGACTCATGAACTTGTCAAAGATCGAAATCTAGGGAATATAAGCTGTTGAGATGGATACTTGGCAATTAAAACACTTAGTTTGAATTTAATGCTTCACACTTCACAATTCAAATAACTAGTCTTTACAAAACCTTCAAACAAAAATACAAGAATATGCTTACTATTGATTGTTTTCGAAATGAGTTCCTGAAGTTTTAGTGAGAAGCTGTAACTGGTGAAGTCAAACCATGTCAAGAGTGAGGTATTCATCATCGATGGAATTAGATGATCATTGTGATATATTGCGAATCGATAAAAGTTAGAAATGTAAACCGTTAGATTCTAACTCAGCGGTTCAAGGGTTAAGGGCTCGTTGCAATATTCAACAGCTGGCTACTTCAACGTGTTATACTGGCTAGAAAAAAGTGAATTGAACAAAGGCTATTGGTTTGTAAACAAAAGCTTAGCATCATTCCATAGTCACTGGACTGGATCGTGCTATCAAATAACAATCTTGATTAATCCATATTTGCAGCAGTTCCAACATTATGATTAACTGACTGGCTTAAATATCACGATTTTATTACTCAAGGCCTTCAAAAGGTTAACTGGATTTATTTGAGCACCCCGGTAAGTGAAAGCTGTTTGACATTAGTTAAATGTAATTTGGTGGTTTTTTGGAGTGTTTTATGATACAGCTCAACACTGATGAGTTCCAAACTGGGATGAAAAACCCTATCAAAATCCTTGGTCTTCAACAATGTACCAGCTAATTTCACTTTGTGACAAACATTACCTTATAACTAATGTAGTAAATGATTAGAAGGTATTCGACCTAAAAAAATACTCATATGACAGACTTAGTAATTAAAAACCTGCATTTGTTTGCTCAACACTGATCTGAGGTGGCTGATTATACATATATGCATGCTCACATGAATTACAGAAACAAAGAGTATGAATGATTTAATCTAATAAATATGGAAGTTGACATCTTGAAGAACATGTATTAGTACTGGTTGATCATGTCACGGTCATATAATGTTCAACTGTTGGTTAGTTACAGATTGAATACTGACTGTTGAAATTTACAGCCATCTCAATGTGAAGCATCAGAAAATGGGAACTACAGAAGTTATGTTATCAATCCCCGAAAGTCGGCTTTTCATCTAAATCTTATAGTTAGCATACAATTCCATACCGAGTGTTTTTAGAGGTATGATGGCAGTTGTCACTTCTTGGTTGGTAACACCGTAGAAGAATACTAGTTCTTAAGGTACCTAAAATGGAAAGTGGGTTAAGGGTGATATTTATGAACTAGTGGCGTGACCTCAGAGCCCAAAGAAGAACTGTTTGAGATTCGTGACACGTAGGCTTCTTGTGAGTAGTTTCAGATGTGCTAGCTCCGTACTCTGAAAGCTTTAACGCCGACGACGAAAATCTCTCGGGTAAGATGAGTTGTGTCATTTCCAGGCCCAAAATGTTATAAACCACTTTTTCGTTGAGAGAGGTCAGCATCAGTGCAGACGCCATTTGAGACCAACGTCTTACTGACATCATATCCCTGTACAACCAGTAATACATCGTCGCCCTCAGAACTGAATTTTCTGTCTCCGATTTTACTGCGTTCTAACCAAACTGCATGGGGTGGTTGGGCATAGGGGAGACGAATTTCCCAAACAAAATAGCTTGACTGGATGATCACCATATTCAAGTCTCAACATCAAGTCAGGATAGCGGCTACGATCAGGCAAACACATATATGCACTAGGCTCTACGGTAATTACGACTGACTGACAGTTTCATATAAAACAGATATTAGTTACACACTTTCTTTGAAAAAAACAATAAATAAAAACAGAACTTACTTTTTTAAGATAAACATAAGGATTGGTAAAACAATCATTACGGCAATTATTAAACTAGTAATACCGACTAGAAATATATCAACCAACTTAAAAGTGGAATCGATTGATTGGCTACCAACTAATAATAAGTTGGATAACTTAAATAAATACTTGGGTGAAGAATGTAGTAAGAATCCCATAGAAAAGCATAAAGTGAGACGCAGAATTAAGCATAGTATATCTGGAGGAATAGCGCTAGAGTATAACGGTAAATTGGATTCAAGTTGCTGTAAAAAAATGCAGAAAAAGAGAAGTCTTAGTAAAATAGCTATATATATATATATATATATATATATATATATATATATATATATATATATATATATATATATATATATATATACTTTGAGTTTTAAAACTCCTATACTCCTCTCAATCCATGAATTCACTCTTTCTCTTCGAATCATATTATCTATGCTGAATATTTTCTACTACAACTGATATTATCACTACATCTATTTCTCAATTTGTCTTGATAACCTCATCTCATTGCGCTGATATAATGTGGCAACTTTAACCAATGCACATGAGTCCCAGATTCTACACTGATTATGACTGACTATGGCCCATTATCAGGTATACATATCTGTAGGGAATAGACAAGTAACATGATTACTAATAGCAGAAGTACTTATTACACCAAATTTCGTGATGCTAGTTAGTATAATTTAAAATTAGAATATGGAGAATCATTTACAAGAAAAAAAGTCTTAGTAACCAAACCAAAAATCGATCCATTTTGTATTTCTAAATACAACTTCAGTATAATTCATATACAAACTCAGTATAACTAGATGAAATTCTTGTACTATCAGAGTTAAATCTAATTGATTGAATTAATTGATTTTTAGTTGACAATGAATAGCATAAATTTGACCATTATATATATATATATATATATATATATATATATATATATATATATATATATATATATATATATATATATATATATATATAATGAATCCTTTCACAGAAGATGGGTAGACCTAACTGTTCTTCTACACTATTTAATGGACAATGATAATTTAAATAATCCACTGTAAGGTGAATATAATTGGAAATGGATAGTAAAAACCGTCATAAGTAGTTGTGGTTGAGACAATAACAACTTTTATTGACAAATAGGTATGACGGCTATCGATCGTCACCAATAGATGAGAGTCGTAAAATATTGTGAATTAATTGAAGCTAGACATTAACACTGTCAGATGGCGGTTCAGTGGTTAAAAGAATAACCATTCGCGTATGAGATCGAAGGTCCTGGGTCCAATCTCCAGTGTCTCAATCGCGAATATGTACTGCTGAGTCTCAATACTAGGTCAAATAGGCCGTCTAATAATTCTTAGTTTTCAACGATGGTATTGCTAAGTTCATGATTTAAATTGTAAAAATACACAAATACAAGAATTACAAAGACTGCGTTCGGTCAGTCTCTATTGTTATATGTAAAGCTTAAGTGGATTGCTTCGACAATGCTATTTAGTCACAAGTTTTTCTTAAAGTTGTATGATGATTAGCACCAAATTTAGGACGCGAAATTTGTCTTACCCGGGGCTCGTCAGTTGAAGTCACCTGCATCCTAGTGTTGATGTCCACAATGAGCCACGAACCCAGTGCCTTCCAATTCTAAAACCAAAGTACTATTTACTGAGCTGCAGAGTCCAAGTAGCCACTAGCTTGTGCGATGAGTATGGATTTTATTTGTAAGGGTTGTTGATGCTACGGACACCAATACTGAGATGAAGGTACATCTATTTGATGAGTCCCAAATAGAACAAAACACGTATTGTGAATCCTACTTATGACCAATATATAGCTTTGATAAAAACCTGTGGCTAAATAGTGATAATGACGCAATTCCCCAATGATTCACACTTCCTAACTACAGTCCTTCATATTACACAACAGGAAAATACAAAACCTTATAAATATGATTAAAATTAAAAGTTACCTTTTCATTTTGATCATTTTTTCTTTCATTCACAATCGATTTTTTTTCAATTATTGACTGTTTTTTACTACGCTGACGAATTGTTTGGTCATTATTAATTAATTGAGCATTATCATCGACTAATTTCTCAATATGATGATTATCTAATTGAGATGAATTGGAATTAGTTAATTTAGATGAGTCTATTTTTTTATTCATAATCATTTGATCATCATCACTATTATCCGAATCGGATTGATTTAAGAATATCCAAAAGAGAAATGGCTAATAAATTATAAGTTTTTGAGAAATACGGTAAATAAAAAGGAATGATATAGTAAGAAATGTATAGAGTAAGTGAATGATACGCTAATATAAAACTTGTACCGAATTTTGTTGAAAAGAAAACCAAAGCTTTTTGTTTAGGCTAATACAGCTGATGGTGCATATATTAGGCAGACACGAGAGTAAATCTAACATATCTAGGTAGACTGAATGACTAATAAACACAACGATGATACAGTGGTGATAAAATTATATAATAAGAAGAGAGAGTTTATGTTTTAAGGAAAGACAAGTTAACAGATAAAGACTACAGTGAATACTTTGTATCCACATAACCCTGGATAAGTTGAATCAAAATACTTCACTAAAGAACAGAAACTATTACTAACAGAGAATAGAAAGATCAACGACGATGTTTTCAGTATGATTTTATGGCATGAAAGGGTAAGTTTCAAATAATGTCAACAGAATTATTTTTCTATGAGCAACGTTAAGACCTAGTTTCTAAATGACAGTCCATTATTAATTGGGCGTTAGTTCAGCGTAGTTTATACTGCTTTAATATTCTCTGGGTTTTGCCGTCTTCCGTCTTTATCCATTCTGAATACAATATACTGTACCTGATGTGTACAAAATACACACTTTTCTGTAGGGTGACGGAGGTCATATTGAGCTATATGTGATAGCATCAGACCAAGTTGCTTTAGTACATGTATTTTATCAACTCCTATGATTATATCATCCGAATAACCTGGATTACCTCGGATATCCTGTAAAATGGTGTCAATTATTAGTTGGAATATGGAGCATATCGTCTTAACTCCGAAAGGCAGTCGGGAATAAACCAAATATTAAAATTAGACACATTATAAGTAAACTTCAACTTGATTGCTATCAGTTCAAAACATGATACTTTCCTCAACATGCAAATCTTCTCTCGACATCAGAGCCATGGGCCCCAAATACTTAAAAAGCGACATCAACACACCTCTTGTCATAAAAATATTAGACTCTGACAATTAAAATTAATCATCAATTTAATAAATCTACATCTCATTTCTTATTGTTGGGAACTAGTATCAAGAAAAAAGTTAACCATAAAATCATAACTAATCATCGTTAATTAATTATAACAACTTACTAACTACTCATAAGTAGTATGATTAAGTAAAATCAAAATGTCTAAAGCACTAACCTTTAATAAAAGACTTAAAATCATGATCAAAACTGGTGGCATATAAACACCAATTGAAATATATCGATATGGATTAGGGAGAAAATAATACCAAAATGATTGGTGAAATCTTTCTTGTAAATTATTTATCGAACGAAGAATACCTTCAAGTAATCTGAAATCATACAAATAATTATTAGCAATATAAAAAGAAGTAATTATAATGACATAATATTCGTTTATAAAACATGATTTTATCCAAAGAAAAAAAGAATATGAAGCCATTATACTAAACATTTACAGTGGTATATAAATGCAACAAAAATACAGACCACATATTATTTACATGTACATTTAAAAGTATGTAGACTAGTATGGGGCCCTTTATTTTGTCGTCATTTAGATGCTCATCGAAGGGCTTTGGTGGCCCGAGATCTGACACCAAGGAGATCGTAAGAATGATTGTTATTGGATTGTATATGTCGCCTATCTTCGTACATAATCATCGACTTAAATCGCGTTAGTCAATAACGGAATTAAATAAGTCAAATAACGAGAATGGTCTTTTGAATACATATATCTTGTACATGAAGCGAATGGAATAGAGAGAAGAGAAACGATGCGCAGTGGAGATGGCAGGTAAGCCAACTCCCATTTAACCAAGCGTTGACCAATATTTATAGTTACACAAAACTAAGTTACAGACATGTGATGAGTAATGGGATAAGAGGTGTACACACACCTACGCGCTCATATAAAAACAGTCAAGATTGGTAAGCGAATAATTAACAAGGTCAAAATATGACTCCAGTAGAATGAATAGATTGAGCTGTCCGAAAGCTAGAATAAGGTATGTGGGCTTAACATAATAACCAACACTACACTAGAAGGATAGATAGACGATTACTTTTTCAAAAATACATATCCCTAAAAAAACCTACGAACCCAAATGCCCTGGTACGGCCGAGAGTGGGGAGAGTTCGCTCTCCCTCTCGAAATGCTCTCAAATGGCCATGCGTATATAGCCTCTGCCACGGAAGTCCTACTCACTGTCTTCTCGCACCACGGGTGTTGTTTACAAAAATGAGAGGACGAAAAGTGAATGTCCGGCGCTTTAACCGGACCCCAAACCAATGGTGCACATGGGCTCCAGTATCCTGAAGGAACAAATGGAGTATGAACCAATCGTTGGTCACCGGCTACCATGGGACTGCATCTCCTCACGATGCTCCACTGCCTTGTGGGTCAGACGTTCAGGTCAAAGGCTCGGAGTGTAGCCCCCTAAGAAAACCACCTGCTTCGGTTTGGGCACCCAGGCAGTATCACAGCCCTCACACAAATCAATTGAGATTCGTGTGGCGCATATGTACTTGGTGCTTCCCTGTACCTATACTTATGTGTTAAAATAAATAAATAAATAAATAAACCTACACCATCGAGGAAACAATGGTCTTTGACAGTAAATCTTATTTGATAGACACAGAATACAATATGAATGTTATGTATTCATTTAAAGTGATCAACAGTTCAATTAATTACAATTATAATTGAGCAAGTTAAATTGACACGTTCTCATTTATATTTTTAAACCTAGATTTTCTTTTTGTTATACTACATTTTAAAAAATTTAATAATCTTATATATTTTACAACTATCAACCTAAAAAATTATTGTAGGTATCGTTACCAAGGTTTGAGTTGATAACTTCGAATAAATTGAGCATTGGATAGATTGTTATCAATATATAATATATTTGTAATATCCCAATGAGTAGAAAAATTAGATTTTCTGATGTTTCGTGACTCATTGTATGCCACTTCTTCAGAGAATAAATAACCAAATCAATTATTTTATCTGGTTATTTATTCTCTAAAGAAGTAGCTTACACTTAGTCACGAAACTGCTAGGTTTAAAGCTATCACGAGTTCACTTAATCTGCGAACGAGAACAAAGACTCGGTGACCAAAGACCAATAAGCTAGCTATTTGATGCGTCGCAGCCCCGCTAACTAGAGGAAGAAGTTCAAGCTTGGGATGGGGAAATATATTCTGAAAACAGCCATAAACGAGCGATAACAACAAACACAATTCAAAACGTATATATACAATACAAGATCGTCCTTGGGGAGAGTTACCAAACAGCATACTAAAAGACGCAACGGACCAATAGGATTTAAGATATTTCCCAGTGGGAAATACGACATGAAGGTGACAAGATCGCTTTTGGCGCGAAAACAAAGAAATTCAGATTTTCTAAATAAAATGACAAAATTAGGTCCTTTTCCAAGTGAGTTCTGGGGATCCAACGTCCCCAACAGAAACATCAGGAAATCTAATTTTCCTACTTATTGGGATATTACAAATATATTATTTATGCTAAACAATTATTGTGAGAAATCTTATTAATGTTGTTTACATTCCCAATAATTTATTCGTTATGAATGGACAATTGAAACCTTTAACATCAACATGATGTTAATATTTAACAACAAATTAACTTATCAGCTTGTATATAGTTACAGATTGAAAGTAACGAAATATGACATGAACTTATTATATTCTGGAAACATTGTTATTTTTTACTTTATGAACGAAACCAACTGTATGAAATATGTATTATTACCTTGTAACTGAAAGGATTTCTGAACTACGTGGAACTGTGGATCGGTGCTTTTGTTCTGCCCGTAATGTAATAGCAGGAATTTGGTAATTAATTAGAGGACCATGTAAACCAGTTGGAGAATTCGATCCTTGATTCCATACTGCCTTCATTAGCCCCATCATATCATTTAGTCTAGTTCCAAATGTAACCCGTCTATAATCATAAGGCTAAAAAAGCGAGTACAAGAAAAATGAGGAAACCAAAAACACGAAAATATTGTATAGATGGGTTTGATCGTCAAAAGATACCGGTTTAAATTAGAACAGAGAAGATTACTTATTAAAATATAACAGAAAAACACTGAAAAAATAATACAGAAAAAAGATTTTAGCCAATTAGTTATAGGTAGGCGCTTATATTTATTATTTTAAAGTTTATTATTACATGGTAAAATCCTACAATCCATTTTTAAAAACCTTGTCAACTTGTGATATAGTACAATTGTTAACCAATGCTACTGATCAACAACCTTGTTTAAAGTTAACAACACAAGCTGGATCTTTTCACTAAAACCTGAACGAATCCATCTTCAGGGGAAGTAACTAATAAAAGTGGATGATTACTTTGTCAGTTGATCTATAAGAGTTGATTTACTACGAAGATTGTTTTACATCAAAATGACATCAGCCTCCCACATTGATTCAATTATAAGATTATAAAAAAGTAAATGGTAATCATTTGTGTTTAAAGTTTAAGTGAAATTACGGAGAATGGATGTAAATTACATAACCACCGGTCTTGGGATAATCGCAAGAAAAAGACAATAACAACAGGGATTTGAGGTTAATGTATCAAGTACTTTGAATAGTCCTTTACTTTTACAAAGAACTAATGGCAGTGACACATCTTCGAATAAAAACGGAAACTTTGATTGTCGTAACTTTCTTCTGATTAAAGAAACAGAAATCAGAAAAGCATTTGTTAGTGAGACTATCTCGGAAAAGTACAGATCAACGATTTACTATCAGTCCAGAAGACTAAATAAATGGGTAAAACACTAGGGAACAGTCCTCCAGCTACATTTCAGTTAGTTGCCCCCTATATCTAATTCACCTGTATGACAAATTAATAGGTTTCTCAACTTTTAAAAAGGTTGAAAAAGCTATAAGTAATCTCAAACGATGAAGAACACCCGACCCCGGTAGATTAACCCCAAAGGTCGTTAGGGATGGTGATTCGGTCCTAGTGGTTAAGTGAAGAGTAAACAAAGGAAAAACAGGTTGATTTCAGACCTGGACGTGAATTAGTTGGGTGAAAATCCACTCTTAATTGAGTTTTAGAACATACACATACTTATCAACACAAAACTATAACGATCACTACATCTTACTTAACAGAATCCAGTTGACAACGGTAAGGTCTAGAAACTATGAAGTTAATATATCAAAAGCTACTCAAATAAAATTCATATATGACCTATCTAAAGTAGTTATATTTTGGGCACTTTGATCACACCCCTAGGTCAACACGACCTTCACTACTGACTCCATTTCCTCAATAAGATATCTTTCCATAGTGTGGGCATCCTGAAAGTGACAATTACCCTTATATCTCTAACAGCACTCGAACTTCTTTTGTTTACGACCAATTTGTAATCTTCACCTAGCGTATCTAACGTCCAACCTTAGCATTAACCACTTAATGCCTCCAACATACACCATCACTAAGCCCTCAAGAGCATCCATAAGTCGGTGATTAATGATTTATCTGAAACCTTAGTTAATAAAAAAGTAACTGAATTTTATTATTAGAAAAACAAACAAATCAACTGTTACGCGTAAATATAAAATATCGATTTCTCACACTTATGCGTGATTGCTAATTATGGTTGTGATCAAAGCAAGTATGTGATGTACGGATGAGTTAACAAGTAAGACTGACGAAACTAACCTACAGGACAATCAATAATGTTTCGCCGCATCTAAAGTGAAAATATTTCCTACTTTAACAGGACAATTTACATTCGTTTCAATATTTCAGAGGAGTTTAACACTATACACCTGAGATTTTTCGATTTTATAGAGAATCATTCCTAATTTTAATTGCCTGAACAGTATGAAAAAAGAAAACTCTTTACTATCTTTGCAACCTAAGCTAGTCTAACTAAGCGAACAGCTATTTCATAAAAATATCTTAGTACTATCCTTGAAAGAGAGTACGCGATTAGTATATGGACAGCAACATAGACAACAGGAGAAGTACAAAATAGTAAGTAATACAAACAATTCAAAACGGGAGAGTGACCAAATAAAGTGAAAAAAATCTCCCCTGATGTTCTAGACAACACTTTCAGTAACAACTGACCTCTCTTAATATACAGTGTTAGTGTTGTTTCTTCCACCCCTCTTGGTGTTAATGAACCCAAATAGATTTTCTAGAGACACTCATTGATGATACAGAACAACTAGCGGGGTACAATAGTTGTTTCTATCGTGCGCTTTCCTGACCTAATTTCTTATCCCGTAATTCCCAATCATCCTTGTACTTTTTCTGTAATATCTGTTCATTTCCTTTGTAACTCCAAACAATTTTTTACAGCTTTCCTTCATACATTTGCATATTTGGCCTCTGTTTTCAATTGTCTTGGGTTCACATTAAGCATATCTATTGAGTTTTGTTTTGGATGGGTGTTCTAACCAGTTACGAGGAAGATACTATTTGAGAGACTTTATGTCCTGTTGTAATAACCTTACCCAGCTTTTTTGTATGTACTTCCTTTGTATCGTTTTTGTTGTCTATTTCGCACTGAATAATTCTCCTTATTGTACTGTTAAGTCTTCGGCCTACAACTTACTATACCAATATTCTAATTTGCCTCATTTTGATCACTAGGTTTTACAATCATTTTTTCTCCCGTAATCCCTCTATCGCAATCTGCCTTTAGTCAATTATCCCAAGGATCATTGTTTTTGCTGTGTTTATTACTGTTTTTAGTCCTTTCCAATCATTCTCAGCACCATAGTTTCCATTCCATATGTGCTGTGTTTATCATTTATTTACCATGAAAAACAGAACTGCGTTAACAATAACGATGAATAAGTGACATCATTCTGTAAAATTACTGTAGAGAATATCATTTTGCATCAGATAATTTAGTATCGACAGATGACTAGTGAATAACGATAAGAAATCTTTGTTAGTGAAATTCGCTAGACGTCAGAGTTACTTGTATAGTTATTTTACCTTAAGATAGCCGATTTCAGATTCATGCATAATCACGAACCTGAGCGACGGGTATGGTTAGAACGTTGAAAACTGATTCCCAACCTTATTAGTAGTATAGCACAGTATCTAAGTAACCCACCAAATGTGAAAATTGCAAATGAATTTCACACTTATAAATGAATGAGTAATAATTCCTAAACGAAGAAAACAAATGAAAATGAAGATCACAGAAACCCAAAGTTATTCACTTTATGTAGTGCAATTCGATTATTCATACTGTTTCAGTCACTCAGATATACGCAACGTAGAACCTGACATATATTTCATCGGTTTAAGACGCTATATTACGCTAACACAGCACAACGAGGTGAAATTATTTTAAGACAAATACCAGAGTAGTAGAAGAAATAACGGTATTAATAGTATTAGAAACGATTAGGTATCGAGAAAGAAAAAGAGGTATGAGAAGATTTCAGGACCTAGGTTCTTACAAAAGACTAAGACTGAATGCACATGCACCATCGCAAACGATTCTGAGCCATGCCACTCAAAGCATCCAGTCATTAATTAACAATGATCACGCAGACATCAACCAGTTAGTCTACACTTAATGACATAGATCAGTCAAGTTGTCACTGACTTCATGAAGTGGTGCCACGTACTGGTTTTCCCACCCCTAGCTTTTTTCCAACCTACTCCTACACCAGAAAACCCCGCCCATCGAAGTAGGTGGTGGTTGGGCATACACAGGGTAAATCCCAAAAACCTCAGTTGGTGGAAATTCCCTACCTCGTCAACCGATTTACCATTTTTACCCATTACCTTGTGCCTAATCTCGACATGCAAGAAACTCGAATTAAACGAACTACTTATCGAGGAGTAACTATGTAGGAAAACTACTTCTAACGTGTCTTACCTGACTATTAACACGTGTTACCACAGAATGAGCTTCAGCTAGTCGAACAACAGTGTTGACTAAATCTAAATTGGCTAATAAACCATTAGGACCTTCAGGCAATATATCAATTGCTGACTGGTACAAATTAGGAAATTCCAAACTTAAACCAGCTTGAATACTACCACTTCTACCCTCGAGTTCTGACCAGAAGAGATCTGTATGCAAAAGAAGAACAACATTTGAAGTTATTGTTATATTTTGTGGAATGTAGTAAATAAAAGCCCCTAAATCTGTTTTTCTGAGGATGTTAAAAATTCCGTTTTCTGATATCAGTAAATAACTTCTATAAATTTAACAAGTTAGTTTTGGATCACTTCGTGGTTCGTAAACAAACAATATTGCCTGAGGATTCCTCTAAATTTTTACAGTTCATCAATTAAATTTTACCTTTGAGTCTTTATTAGAGAGGTACTTGTCCTAAAGACCTATCAAGTGACTTAGTTAAAAAATGACATAATCTTGTTTGGCAAAACTCTGATGAGTTGCACTCTCAGATCAATGGGAGGACTTGCGATTACGTATTATTTGGGATAATTGATACAATGGACAAGAATTAGGCCAAACAGTTAGGTCTTAATTGGTTGGGTAGTGAGTGACCTACAAACTGACTTCACCCAACAGGTTATAACGAGTCATTATATTACTTGCATAAAAATGTATGTATATACATATCATTTTATCGGACAAAACCCTGTTTTCCTGGTTAGTAGTCTTGCTTTCAGCCTCGAACCATTTAGGAGCTTAAATTAACAATTAGTTCTCAGGAGTGGCCATCGCTAAACTACACTTTGTGCAGTTGTTTATCATTTATTGGTCAGTATTCGCATTCATTTTAACAATTGAAAACTTGTCCCATAAAATCCACCTACGTTGTATAACTAGGTCAAAAAAGCGTGCAATTTATTCCATAAGATAGGAATGAATGAATATACTGATTTCACGTAGTTGGGGTCCGTGTGATTATTTTGACCAGTGGTTTGAGACATATGGCTCAAAACCGGTATTGATGCATTCACTACTTGTCTAGCCCTAAACACCTAGTTTTAAAATTATTTCCTACATTTTATTCCGTAAGTTTAATCTCCAACCATTTTATCTACGCCTATTCTTCACTATTAACAACACCACTAACACTTCGGTATTCAGTTTGAAAGTTTCATTTACTTGTGCTAATGTGGTGTGGCAACTTTCCCTGATCAATGCTTCCGACAGTTTTAAGGTTCTTATGGCTGATTATGACTAACTGGCCACCTCACTTGCCTACACTAGTATCTCAATAGTAGGTAACTACAGAAGTACTAGCACGAATGCATGAAGCTCATTCAACATTTATTTACCAAATGTTGATGAAATGATAAAATATTCATCAGTGGTTAAATTTGATGTTCAATAGTACATTTTGTTCTTTTATGGTGTTAAGATATAATCATCGAGCCTAAGTGACATGAAAACACTTTAAGTATTTAGTTAAGTTATTTTGAAGCAATCTTTAGGTATAGGGATATCATCACATTAGCAATATTTGGTATGAACTTTCTTAAGCAGAGCAAATAACTTGAGTTTGTGATTACAATTGGCCGAAGTGAACTAATAACTTGGGGCAACAGTACCCAGGTATGAAACTTAAATGAAAACTGCTTTAATAATAAAACACCGCAAGGATAAATTTTTAAAGTAAACTTGCTCTCTGAATTTATGGTCCCATGGTAAGCTTCAAGCCATGCCATCAAACCAATATATTCATATTCCGGAAACAGGAAGATTATATCTTTAGCCCAGTGTATTTGATCTGTAAATTTGAAAAGTTATTAAATCATATACTTTTGAAATGTTAATTACTTCTGAACAATTTACTCAGGGATAAAACATAAGCAAGACTTCCAAAATAAGTTGGATTATCACCTAATGACGTAATAATCACAAGTGCTTCAGTTCGACCACCACTTGGTGACCTCATAATGCCGTATAAATTTGATCCATTAATTGACTGTATTAGAAGAATTTTATAGCATTATATTGAAAAAATTGTCATACCTTTAAAGGCGAAAGTATATCATGAGAGAAACTAAAATTCTGCGAATAAACTTCTAGACCGATTGTGTTAAGCTGTATAAATAACCATTGTTTTAAACCAATACTGAATATTTTTTTATCTACGAATACATTAATTTGTTACTTACATCTCATTAGATTTAAATGCCTTCTTAGATTCTTCATAAAATTCGATAGAGGAAGAAACATCATCAAAGATTTCATTCACCTGACCTACGAAGAAATCTTTCTATATGATTAATGAACATACCAATAAGCAGAGCATTCTCACTCATATAAGTTTTATGGTTGAGCTCATCTTGAGACAAAAGACAAAACCATATTAGCCCAATCAGATATAAAAGAAAACCGAAAACTGTTGAATGTTTTTCAATGTATTTGAAATATTTTTCTTTTTTGTTGTACACTTGCATCTGAAAATACGAAACTAGTCATATATGAAAAACAGTTTACTTTACATTGCCTATTTTAAATGAATAAAAAGAAATTAACTCATCAGAACCTGAGGTGTAAATGCTAGACACAATTTAGTTGGATATACGATGTTGCCGGTCACTACATTCATTTGAATAGCATCAGACTTTTGTGAATTGGTAGTTATTTAAATCTCGAAATGGTTACTGAAAAACACTATTAGCAGTTTTAATGTTATTTGGATTAAGGTGAATACGATAATACTGAAACGTTTATCAATGGATGGTTATTGTGACATAAGAATTAAAATTAAATTTGTTTGGGAAAAATCTTTATTGTGATATAATCATGAGGAATAATCCTACCTATTTGACGAACTACTTAACCTAAGTGTAATGCTTTTTAACAGAAAATATATGGTTACAACAACATTAAATCCCATAAACACTACACTGAGTAGTAATCCAGTGCTTATAACTAATTTACACTACAACGACAAAACTGAATTTCTAACGATAAGCTGTAAAAGATGAAGTCGACAAGGTTGTGCGTGACATGGACACTCAATGATGATACTGAATAATGGTCGTATTATGTGAACCGTAAAATTTTACATGACTGTATCCTAATCAACTGGCTCCGAAATCCTCTGGTAAAGTCGAGAGCAGGGAGGGTTCAGCCTCCCTTGCAAAATTCTCATATAGCCTTACGTATATAGCAATTGCAAGGGGACTCCTACTGATTGTCTTATAGATACGAGGATGTTTATGAGATTGTGAGGATGAAGAGCTACCATGGGAATGCATATCTTAATGTTGCCTCACTGCCTTGTGGATTATATTATTAGGTCAAACGTTCGAGGTATGGCACCCAAAAAAATTACCACCCAACTTGGTTTAGGCTGCCGGGCAGTATTCTGGCCCTCACAAATCGGATGATGGGGTGTAGCGAATAAATATTCAGTAGCTTCTTTTGCAAATGTTGATGTGCTTAAATAAATGGTTGAAATAAACAATTGATTGAATGTCATTATGCTTTAACAAAAGAGGACTTGGGCTTGATGCATAGAGGATTAGAAATCAGCAAAGCTAAGGAACTATTTTCTGGAAAAGGGAGCAGCCCGGCATTTTCCGCCTTTGAAATGATAAAATAAAATAACTCCAAAATAAAAATGAGGCTTAATGTACATAAATTCAGAATATAAAACTGAACGTAAATCATCTGTGGAAAAAGACAACACTCCACATAAATAAGTACATACGTTGTCGACCCTGATTGTGTTGATAGTGCTTTTCATGTGCACTGACTTAAATTATTTGAGTTAAGGTCACAGATGTGTAGTTAGCAGACTTTGGATGACATAAAGCCTATTTTAAGACAAAAGACTAGATGTTGTCTAATGGAAGCACGACTCTCGTGTAAATTAATGATGAATTCGACATAAACCTATGCAAATAATAAGATTTTCGACGAGGTATTCGAACAGAAAAACATCACTCAGAGCCACATTTTTAAATAAGACGTCTTTCATATTAAATGCGCAGTCCTATGTCGTTACATCTTGTCAAAATTTCTTCTTAAAAAAGTGCAAAAGTATAAAAATTGGACATTTGAAACATTGTTCGTATAAATATCGATAGTTAAATCACTAGAAAAGGAATAAAACTTAATGCAAAAAGAGGATTTATAGCCACCACATGTCACCAGTCGTGAAAGGTCACCAAATGTCCTTCACGAAAGAAAATTCGCAGATTGTCCAATACCCAACATCTTTGTCACAAGTTTCAGTTTCAGTTTAGAAAGGGCAGGAGGCTTGACAGGTTGTGTTAGCCCCGGCAATGATGATCTCTCAGCGGATTTAACTTTCCTTTGAAAGAGTCGACTGATGGAGTCTCAACCACGTGCTGAGTTATTGCATTCCACTCATTGATGATTCGATGGGAAAGTTGATAGTCAACTGACAAGTAATTTGTCCTTTGCTTGTGAACATTTTTAAAGTGTCGTCATAAATTCTCTGTTTTGAAAGACAAGAAAAATAAGGGCATATCATGTGCAAATTTATCACTCAGCGATTTGAAAACTGTAATCAAGTCGCTTCAAATTCTTCGATATGACAACGGGAATAGGTTTGACTTGGCCAGTCGAGCATCATACGGGAGCTTTGCTATTCCGGGAATCAGCTTAGTCGTTGTTCTCTGAACCTTTTCCAAAAATTCACTGCCTTTCTTTAAGCAGGGACTAGCCGCTTGTATGCAGCACTCAAGTTCAGGACGTACGAACACTGTATACAGAGTCAAAAGCCTTTTAGCGTCAACATGATTAAAAGCCCTACGTATTGACCATAAAGTTCTAAAAGCTTTGGCGACTATTACACAGCAGTGTGCAGTAGTCTTCAGATCTTGGCTAACGATGACTCCTAAGTCATTATGTGTCTGGACAACAGGTAGCTCAGTGTTATTCATCGTGTATGTATCTGTACCTTGTAGACCGATATGCATCACAATACAGTTTGAAGTATTAATCGGCAACTTCCAGATTCGAAACCATTCAGATAATTTCTCCAGGTCATTTTGGAGTTCTAAGCTATCACCCTTACATCGTATCGTTCTTCATATATTGACATCGTCAGCATGTAGCAAGACCGATGATGATATCGGACGAGGAAGGTCATTTACATACAGGAGGAATAACACTGGCCCCGAAACTGTACCCTGAGGCACCCCATCAAGCACAGTTTCCCAGATAGATAACTTTGAGTTCACCCGTACTTCTGTTGGCGCCCAACTAGGAAGTATTTTATCCACATCAATAGATTGCTTCCAATTCCGACGTTTCTTAGCTTATATAACAGCCGGTTGTGCGGAACTTTGTCGAAAGCTTTGCTGAAGTCAATGTAGGCTGTGTCTACGGATAACTTTTGGTCCTTAAGAGCGCATCAGCTTCCACGAGTGACCAATGACTTAGTGAGACAAGAATAACCTACTCTAAAACCATGCTGCTTCTCCTAAAGGATCCAGTTCTCATCAAGATACTTGAACAGCTCCTAGCGAATAACCTTTTCTAAGATTTTAACAGAAACATTAGTTAGGCTAACCGGTCGGTAATTCCCAGGTTTATGTTTCCTACCTGTTTTGAAGACAGGACTTTCTATGGCGTTCTTCCAGTCTTTTGGTAAACGACCTTGGAATACGGATAGATTAAGGCATACACTTAAAGCGTTTGGGACAAGTTTAACTAATTCCTAGGATGCAGTTCATCGGGCCCAGTGGATTTATTTATGTCAAGCTTATTTAGCAGACCAAAAACATCAAGTTCCTTACTGGTCACGCTGTCGGGTGTTTGTGTGTGGGAGGATTTGTACGGACTGGCGGGAAGTGTGCTTTTTGTCCTTTAGTTTATATACGAATACGAACGTTTAGGACATTCTATTGATTCCCTGACAATTTTCTCTTCGTACAGCCTTCTAGATTTACGGAGGGTCGAGGCACAGGTATTCCGAGCTTTTTGATCCTGAAATTTTGTCTCATCAGTCCCCAGTCACCCAAACCTATCCCACATTTTTCTTCCCTTACGGAGGAGGATGTGTACCTCCCTACTGAACCATGGTGGAGTTTCTCGGCCCCTTCGGTGTAGTTCAAGGGATATGGGGTGTGTTAACTTCTATGTATAATGTTCCCAAGCCGTTTCTATTGAGCACTCTATTGTTCAGTCTACTGACGACGCCGAGTGCATGATATCTTGTATGTTTGCTTTCCAGACATTAGGTCTGGATCGAGATGACGCGTGATTGGGATTGACAATTATATGGAAGTCAAGGGTTAAAACCGCATGATCACTTTTACCTAGGAATGGCATGTAATCGAGGTTGGTAACGTCATCCTCATAATGTCAGTATGAAATCTGGTAAGAATGATTGAGAGTCGGGGTTGTACCTAGTTTCTTCTTTCGAATGTTGCACTAGGGCAAGTTTTCCATGTGGTTTGAAATGACTTGGGCTATATGCTCCAACAGAGGTGTCACTAGGGGTTGTATTTCAAAAAATTATAGTATAGGCCTACTGTGAAGTGTACGGTCATTTGCAAAATAGTCTTGATGGTTAGGTTCGTAGCCTCTGTTATATCTATCTACGTTACAGTGAGAAAGGTCTGCTGCGCATAACTGGTAGGAGTTGCGACTGTTATTACACATGGGAGCCGTTTTTATGTGGTGGGTTGTTACTAATGGGTGTGAAAAGTTTTCTTTCTGAGAGTAATTACAATTGTGATCCTGGGGAATTTAGACAGGATGTGGGGTGAGAAACCTATTATTACCACTCTTATTAATGGTTTTAGGCTTTAGGGGGTGATTGGAGTGATCAGTACTCTGGCAGTTTTTGTCAGTCTGCGTGTAAAAAGGCTTGTTACGCTGAAGCCCAATACCCGTTTTGCAACTTAGAGGTGTTGAAGGCAAGTTATATGATATAAGCGGGGAGAACCTGTTCACTGTTGTAGGGATACCTATAGAGCGTTGGGTTCAATCTTATGTGTTTCCATAGTCGGTATCGTGAGTCTTGTCTTCCCACCCCTTTTTGTCAGAGCTAGAGTTTTTCGTTGTTTATGTGAGATGAATTTAGGTTCATTCGAGTCATCTTGTGGAGTATCTTTAGGAGGACTAATTTTCAAGTGTATAGGTTTATTTGGATGCGTGTTGTCACACGACTCACATCTTAGTACATTACTGAGCGAACAGCCGGGATTGGACATGTCATTATGCTTTTTGGTGACAGTTGGGGTTCGTATCTCACCCAAAGGCTTCTGATCAGCAAACTCATCTAGATCGACAGAGTGATCAGCCGTTTGTGGTGTGATGCCATGCTCATTGTTGATGTATTTTAATCTATTTACTGTTGCAAACTGTCTCTAGCTGGTTACTTACTGCAATACTACTACGCAATCCTATCTCTTCACACACGACATTGACAGGGCGTAAGATCTGGAGTGACTTCTATGTTTTTGTATGGAATAAGTGATTCATTATTTTTGCTCGAATCAATAAACTGTTTGGCACCGTTACAACAGCCAAACATAAACAGGAGGGGGCATGTTAATCTGTCTGACTTTTTTCTAAGGCGGATGACTTTGCAGTTAACGTTCAGCATACCGTATGCTCTAAGGCAAATATCCCTTAACTTAGATGTGTGTGTGCGGTCGGAGAGGTTATTCTCAACTGCGTTGAATGAGGACATCACTCTTTTTGTCACTTCTTATGTCACAAGCTCAAAAATGCATTCAGCTTTAGTGAGATGCTCAAGATTTCTGTCAGTGTCAAGGCCCCATACATGTGTGAGGGGTGCTAGTTGTTTAAGTCTGTTGTTTGTTTCGGCTAGAGAGTTTTGTAGCCGGCGGATGTCAGTACTATATCTATCAGTATTTTCGTGTGTATGAGATGAACTATTAGTCTCTTTAGTTTTTGAAATTTTAGATTTAGGCCTTGGTAGAACATACTGCTGACTTTTCGATGCACGTGGGTATAGTGTCTTGTATGTAAACCAGTCTTACCGTTGGCATACTGCACACAGAGATAGAGGAGTTGTAACATGAAGAATCAATTGTTGATAGTGATATTTGTGGACAATACGCATATTGTTCAGTGGATAAAAGTCCGACATTGTCAGGTACTGAGTCGTCAGTCATAGTGGTTACAGATTTGGACCTTTTATTTGGCTTAGAAGTTGGCGAAATTTCTTTTTTGCTGGAATCATCGGCCATGATTTGAAACTGGGTTAGTACAGAGCTCGTTACACTAAATATAATATCTGAGTATCAGCTGCTATTAAGTATTAACGTGGTTAATACCAGGATCAGAGACTATGAGCATATGATAAATTTCAGATATATTTAAGACTTAAGTCCGCGATAGGAATAATATGAACTGGTAAGTGTCCGTCGAAAATTTTTTCAGGGTAAAATGTACCCGATGTACAAGATAAGATGAAAGTCTCCGTATAATACACCCTACAAATTAACAAGTCGAAGAATTTCAAGAATACGTGAAAAACATCTACCACTTTCATATTTCCTTCTCTTACAGCTTTTTACGCCGTCGTTGCTAGTTCTCCCACGTATTTCTGCTTGTCGCCTTTAATGCTCTTCTTCACGTGTTGTTCGCTCCTATGTACTCAGCTCGTGCTTGGACGTTCTCTGCTCGTGTTCGGCTGTTGTTACTTGCTGCCTTCTTGTTCTTTCTTTCTTTGATCCTGTCTAGTGTTTCTATAGAGATCCATTCCTTCTGATGATGCTTCTTGAGGCCCAGAACCTCTTGGCACGTTGAAGTTGATGCTTCCTTGATACCTTTCCAGTTGTCCTCCATAGTAGTTTCTTCTTCCTTCAGCAGATCCTGTAAGGCTTGGAACCTGTTGTTGATAGTTATTTTGAATTCATTGAGTTTGTCAGTATCTCGAAGGAAGGCTGTATTGAACATTTGTGGTGCTGTTTGTCCAGTTTTCCAGTTCTTCTTGAGCTTCAGTTTTAAATTGGCCACAATCAGGTGGTGATCTGAAGCTATACCCGCCCCTCTCCTGGTTCTCACATCTTCCATTGTCCTTCGGAACTTTTTATTGATGCAAATATGATCTATCTGGTTCTCTGTGGTGTGGTCCGGTGAGATCCATGTAGCTTTGTGTATACGTTTGTGTGGAAATACTGTGCCGCCAATGACCAATTTGTTGAATGCACACAGATTTGTAAGTCTTTCTCC